TTTTCCGTTTAATTTTACTTCGTTTAGGAAAGCAGTGTTTTGAACTATAGGATCTTGTGTAGGTTCCTACATAAAATCCTATATAGGATCCTTTATTGGATTTCATGTAAGAATTCATCACATAGGAATTTATGTGGGATGTCATGTGAGGATTTCATTGTTTTAATTGTCCATCTAAGATACCAAGTCGGAAATTATATGAGAAATTATGTCAGAAATTATATAGGAAATTATATAGGAAATTCAAATATAGATGTATATCATCATATTTCCACTCTTACGCCGCCAGATGGTGCTAATTTTTTTTCTGACAGTTGAGATCAGTCTTGAATACTATAAAAGCTGAGACTCTAACTCAGAAGGTGTATTGCAAAGCACAATTTCTTTTCTTTTCAGCTGAATTACAGTAATATTATTTGATTTTTAATTAAATAATTTTTGATTTTTATAAACTGTCGTCTGCCATCTGAAAATTCCTATGTGAAATCCTATATTGTTTCCTTTATATAATTCTATGTGAAACCTTAAATATAAATATTTCAGAATCTACATGAAATCCTATATGATTTCTTACGTTCAAATCAATCATATATATGATCTCACGTAAGGATTTTCAATATGATTTCATGTCAGATTATTTGTAATAATTTTTTATTCAAGAATCGAAAAAAGATTTGATGTATGATTTGATATAGGAAAATTTCTGGTTAAGGATTGAGCAATGAATTTTGGTATGTTTTTTAGTGAGAAAACACGAAGGAAATTGACATAAGAAATTGAAAGAAAAAATGTGACCAGAAAAAATTGTAGGATTTCACATAGGAATTTACATAACTTATTACCTAAGAATACGTTTGTAAGAATTTACATCGAATCCTACTTCAAATCATGTCTCAATTTCCTATATTATTTTTCATAGGATCCTATATAGTTTCTTACATGACACATAGGATTTTATGTGGATTTTAATATATGAATTTACTGAAATTTTCTACAGGAAAAAAAAATTTATTATTATTTTGTTTTATTATTTAGTTCAATTAATTCCGGTACATTTTGCTTACCTTATATATACATATATATATATATATATAAATTATTTTGGTCATCCACATATTTTATATGTCGAGCTACGCTCGCATGGGAACTTAAAAACAAAAATGATTTTATCAGGTGCAATTAAAAAAAAATTAAATTTGTAATTTATAACGATAAATGAATGAGATAACCTTTGTAACTTTTCAGTCAATCAATTACAGCTAAATCGATAATGGTCGGCCCAACTGTGGGCCATTAATTGGCCGACTTTCTTCTCAGAAAATTTAAATATTATTATTAATTAATTCATTAATCTGTGTTTTTTTATTCTCTCATAGGAGGATTTAGGTTTACTCATTTTATAAGTCAAATAAAACAAATTATCTCAGATTAAAAATTACATTCGTTTTTAGGGTTCCGTACCCGAAGGGGGAACCTTATTAATGAGACTAGTGAAGCAAGGCATGTACCCCCCCCCCCTAGCGGCCACACGAATTTATCTAGAGGGCTGAAATTTGGTATACATATGTATTTTGGCGTGTAGATTACAGGAAAAATATAGCGAACATGATTCGGATCAATTTACATAGCGTTGTCAAGGAAAAATCAAAAATTTTGAAAAAAAGCGTTTAATCCACCTAGCGCACACACTATTTGACCAAGACAGTTCATATTTGGTATACTTACGTATTTTTGCGTGTAGATTACAGGAAAAATATAGCGAGCACGATTGGAGTTGATGATCATATTGTTTTTAAGGAAAACTCATATTTTTAGAAAAAATCATGGATTTTTCGAATAAAAAAAGAAGAAAATTTTATCTTAAGGAATTCAAATTTATACATTTTTACGTATTTTACGTGTAGATTACAAAAAAAATATAGCAAGAACGATTAGAGTTGATTATCATAGAGTTTTTAAGAAAAAACTGATAATTTTTTATAAAATTCATGAATTTTCGTCAAAAAACAAAGAAAATATTATCTAATGGGCTTCAAACTTATACATTTTTATGTATTTTTACGTATCCCAGTCGAATCCCATTAGAGAATTGTGAGACAGTAGATAACTAGCTATAGAAAACTTTCAGGAAGCCTGTTATGGCCGATTTTTCGCTTCCACGGAAAGCTTGAAAATAACAAATTTTGTACGTTTTAAACAAAGCATTCAAGTAGCTTTGAGAGAGTTATCAAAGAATTGCAGGATTTTGCATATATAAAAAGAAAGCGTTCAGGTGGCGAAAATTAAATGAAGCGTCATGGATGTTTCAGGAAACAGCGGAAAAATGACAATGATCAAAAATTAAATTTAACCTTTCTTTCCATCTTTATTTATCTCGTAAAAATATTATGTATTAGATTATTATATTTAAATATTGAAGAATTAAAGAAAAATTATTTACGTCAGACTCGGTATTTTAACTTTTAGTACATTGTTGTCAACCAAAATTTGTAAATAAAAATACGCTGTTAAATTCATTTTCATAAATTATGAAATTCTAAAAGAATAAAGAATATATTATTTATAAAAAATATTCATAAATATCAAGTATAAAAATAATAATCTTTTTTTTTAAGGTAGTATTACACTTTATACCGACCAAAAAATCGATTTTTTTTTTTGCATTTTCGTGTTCCAAATCATCTTAGGAGGGTAATCCTCAATTTCCAGATCAAAATTTGGAAAAATAAAAAAGTTACACAACAAAATGTAGCGCAATGCACTTTTGCGCTCAGTGCAAAAATTTATGTATTTTGTTTAAAAAACAAGTGTCATTTGTTTATTTAAAATTTTCAACAATTTTTGTATACACCATTCGAAAGAGTATTTTTTGGCACACAAGAAATGTCTATTCCAAAATTTTTTTTATAGATTTAAAGTGTAAAAAGCCAGTGTCAAACTCTGACAAAATTGTTTGCTTTCGGAAGATAAATGTTTAATCGAGTTTTTCTCGAAACGTTGTTTTTGAAACTGGCGGACAGCATAACTCGAGTTCTAATGAACCAATTTTTTTGAAAAAAATATTATTTTTTTCGTAATTAAATTCTTTAAGCATCCCCCCTAAATCCAATTATCTATTTCTTTTTGGATTTTAGCTACAATCCAAAAACTAACCAAAAAAGACCTAATTTTTGACATTTTTTTTTAAATCGCTGCCATTTCGTTAATTTTCAATATTTTTTATCCGGGTTAGGGGGGATGCTTAATGACATGTCTCAGCTTCAAAACGGTTTTTTGTTTTTTCAGATCCGATGTCCCTGAGAGGCTGTAGCCTGTCCGCCGATTGCCCAAATTTTTTTTTTTGCCTTGACTTTAAGGCCCTCTAGTGACCAAAGAGAGATAATAAAAAAATTTTATTTTATTTATTATAAAAGTTTTAATGCCATATAATGTTATAAAAAAAATTTGTTCCTTTAAATAAATTAAGAAGCGAGAAAATTTTTTTTTTCTAAACCCGTTTTTTACTGCTTGAAAAGTGTAATACTACCTTAAATATTAAATATTTTGTCTTTTTTTTAAGAAATTGTATTCATTATTCAATATAAAAGGTTTTCACCGTGTTCGTATTCCTAACCCCAAATTTTGCTCAAGTTATATATAATCTTCTTCGTATATAATTTAAGTGTTTAAAAATAAACGTTTTCTTTGAAAAGTAATTTTTATATAATATATAAAGAATAATTATTAATTGTATAAAACGGATTTACAAATTACTATAGAATTTTTATAATTTTTCGATTTAGTTTAATTTAATGAAATTATTCTAGTTTTCAGGAAGTGTAAAAAAGGTAATTAAATTACATATTAATTTGCAACTTGTGAAAAGCAAATAGAATTGCTTTCTTACACATTAAACCAGGCATTAGGAAAGCATTCACCAAGCAAACTGGTAGACCTTTTGCTAGAAGCTGTCCACAGATATTCAACAAGCTGTAGAAAAAGCTTCCGGTTAAGAAGTCAGAAAGCAAATATCACAGAATTTTAGGTCTAATGTATAAATAGTTGCCATGAAGCTTTTGAAACCTTCATAACAGTTACCTGAAGGCCATGTGAACCCTTTAGGGAAACTTACGATTTTCGACTGGGATAGATTACAAAAAAAATATAGTGAGCATGATTGGAGTTGATAATCATAGCGTTTTTAAGGAAAAACTGATAATTTTCGTTATATGTGACTATGTGTCTATCTATGTGTTTTTATGCTCACATTACAGGAAAAATTAAGCAAAATTGGAATTTTTCCACATGCCTTCACACTTTAACCCTTTAAATTTTAGGTTTAAGGGTACGGAACCCTCGGTTTTAATGCGAGTGTAACTCGCACTTGTCCGATTTTTTTATTATTGTAATTAAAATACCAGTCAAACGGTGTTCATTGAAAAGTCCATCCACAATAATCTTGATATATACCGACTGCCGACAACCATCGGCCCGACTTTGGCCAGAGTCGGCTCGACCTTTTAGAATTAGGTTTTTTGAACTTTGCCAATCACAGTCGGTCCAACTTTGGGTGAAAGTAGGAACCAAAGTCGGGCCAACGTACCAACTATGGCTGCCGACCTAAATTCGCACCTGGGTATATATTAAACGAAGTGATTCTTTACCACTTGCGAGAAACAGGGGGGATATTTCGTGATGTCAAAAGTTCAGATTTTTTCTCAATAATTTTTATATATTGAGGAATTATTTTAGTATGTTTAGGACTTTATTATTATTATTTTATTTATCAGATGTAAAAAAATACATTATTTAATTTAAATACCAAATGTTTCAATCAAATTATTTCTATTAGCTAAATTTTTAAAAATAATTTTGAAGTATTTTTTAAACAATAGAGTAGAGTAGTATAGTATATATATAGTATCACTATTTGGCTTTTATTTTTATGTTTTATGACTTAGAAATTTTATCTTTCACGTCAATTATACTTATTGTAGTGTGCATATATGCCATGATTTTCGAATCGATTGTGCATACTTTCCGCGCACCGCTTTCCTCGAACTCGTTGACAAGTATCTGTGATTCACATTATCTATTGCCCAGTTTTAAGTTCTATTACAAAAGTAACTAGGTTTCTAAAAAGTCTTCGACTTTCTTCTACAGTATCTGTCAAAGTTATAGAACTTTTATAACCTGAGCAAAATATTCATTTAGATCCGAGACTTCTCGATTACCTAGTCACTTAAATTCTATATAAGCGACAAATTTTTTCCGTGTATGAGATTACATTAGGGCAATTTTTAATTATTTTTTCTCATACTTTATTCATTTATGGAACATGTTAAATATTTATTACTTGTGAGTATAATGAAACATTTCATTCTAATTATAAAATAATATAATATAAATTAATTATAAAATACATTAATCATCCAGACGAATTTTGTAAATATATTTTTTTTATATATACTTTTTTCATGTTTTTGAACAATCAATCCTATGGATTTTTAAAAATTTTAATATTTTCAAAAAATAAAATTTCTAAAATATCAAAAAAAAAATTTATTAAAAATTTTAATAATTCACAATAATTTTAGATCTCAAATAATGCCACATAAAAATTGTGACCTCTTAACAACATTAATTTCTCCGCTTAAATTCATTATTTATAATTATTTATATTTTAACATTTTCTATATTTTTAAAATATAAAAATAATCAAAATTTAATTGTCAAATTAAATTTTATTGTTCTAGAATTTTTGCCGTCCACTTAATAATTTTATTAATAATAAATGAAGACAAAACACTTGTTTTCGGAAGTGATGTTGAAAATAATATTTCGGAAGTTTGTGAAACTAAGGAATGCCACGCATTAGGTAAGTTTATTATTATTCATATTGGAAAATTAAAACAAATATACGGTAAAAGTACCAATTATGGAACAACTTTTCAGATAGGTTTTGAGATTTATTGTATTTGAACCATTAACTTAAGAAAATAATACGAAATTTTTTGCTGCATTAAAAAGGTGTACGTCTTTAGTTGTTAAAACAGTGTTTTTAATATCATTTTTATATTAAAATAATAAATTATTGATAAAATTGTAAATAACAAATTTGTACCAATTATGAGACATGAATTTTATGATGCACCTTTGTCCCATAAATGCAGTAATTTTTTGTACGAATGTATATGAACTACTTAAACATAGAAAGCTTATATTTGTGTCCAATCAAAATTTGAAGGGTATGTTAGATTCAATTGAATATTTTCAACTTTTAATTATTTGTCATTGTGTAACGAATGTAATGATAAAATAAACTGTTGGATTAGCTCGCCGGATCAGGGTTCGTTTTTAAGCAACAATATTCCATTAAAATTACAGACACAATTCAAAAAAATAACGTTTATTTACAAAAAAGAACGATGACATAACCTTAAAAATTATATACTTGACAAATATACTACACGATTACAATTTAAATACGAAATGGTCAAAATACGGATTGCATTACTCCAGGTTACGTTACGTTACGTTCCCTACGTCGGAGGAACGGAAGCGACGACGAACAACTACGCCATGGGTTACGTACAAAACGGGAACGCGAGATCGCGGTAAAACCGCTTCGATGTCTCCAACAGGTAAAACCTCGCGGAGACGAGAGAAATGCTCTCTTTACGATACTTCGGAGTAATGCTCCTTAATACTTAGGGAAAAGCCCCAGTGTGAGGGAAATGCCCTCACCGACTCTGTGAACCACTATAGTCTCGATTTCCTGCGGGAGTGCAGCTTATATAGCCGATCGGTGGCCGGGACACTTGCGAGAGAGCTCGGCGGTATAGCTCTCGCGGCGCGATCGGGTACTACGATATACTTCACAGTCGGTAACATTTTATCGACATGGAGTATATATTTTTATCGACGTGGGGAAAAAATTTATTACAAATATTTACCCGCGAATTTTCAAACAATCTTTACAATTGTCTATTTATGTACTGTATAATTAAAATAAATAAATAATGATTTTATTTCTGAATCATAATAATTGGTAGTTTTACCTTATTTTAATATAGAAATGCTATTAAAAACACTGTTTTAGCAAGAGACATACACCTTTTTAATGCAGCAAAAAATTTCGTATTAGTTTCTTAAAATAATGATTTAAATATACACTAAATCTCAAAAATAATATACCTAAAAAGCCGTCACATATCTAATTGAACATTATTTTTGATAATGTTTCAAAAACATAAATTTTCCTTTAATTTTTTAACTACGCACACAATTATTGAAAACGTGTTTAACAAAAATATTGTGTTTTACAGCGGAATTAATTAAAAAGGGAATGAATGATAACGTAAATCCTTGCAATGACTTTTATTCCTACGTATGTGGTTCATGGCAATCTAATTATCCGGTTCCTAACGGCCAAAAAAACTGGAAATTATCAAAAATAAGTACAGAGGAGAGAAAACATTCTAAAAGGTAGGATAGAGAGGGGCAATGACGCTATATACAGAGTTTTTTATTTAAAAATTTAATATAGTACCCGTTTCAATTTAGGGAAAAGGAGAAAATTATTTAAGTTTCATACAGTCAGTTTTAAAAATAAAAATTCTCGATTATCAAAATCAAATTGAGTGTAAATTTTGTACTCAATTTGAAATTATGTTTTTTCTGTATAAGGAAATTTATGTTTTTTTTACTCTTCATTATGGTATTTTTTCAGAAATTATAGAAAAGCCACTAAGTTCTGAGGATACTGAGCAATTAATTTTCGAGAAAAAATTGTACAAATCTTGTATGGATGAAGGTAATTATTTTATAAAATTTTAATTTAAATTTCTATACCTAATGATGAAAAACTTTAGTTGTTCCAATATTAATTTATTTTTTCGTTCTTATCATTTATAAAATTATCTAATTTTTTTATGAGTCTAATTCATGTTCAACAATTTTCAGTGATAAGAATATTTTTCTTTGACAACAAAACATTTTGTTCATAAAACACAAAGGTTTTAAGATGATTGAACAAAATTTTTGTTTCTCAATTCAATGCAGCAAACTGTTTTGCTGTCAATGCCAAATATTTTTTTCCGTACACTGAAAACAAAATTTATATTTAATTTAAATAAGTTTATACCTGATTCGTTATGTATTTTCAAGAAAATTTTTTTTCTAAACACCATTTAATTGGAATCAAGTAATTTTTAATTAAAACAAATAAAATTAATTTTAATCAATAACTTTTTTTGTATTGCAATCAAATATTTATTATTTAACTCAGACACCTTCAGAACGATAATAATTATTCATTGCAGAAAATATCTGCTTTGATGATAAATATAGCCGATTGTTGTTAAATCAAATAATTTTTATTTTCAATGAAATAGCAATAATATTTAATGAAAACTTGAAATTAAAAAATATATTATGAATAATTTTAGACAGAATTAAGAAAAAAGGATTGGAACCGTTGAAGAAAATTATAGACAAGATTGGTGGTTGGCCAATGGTTATGAATACAACTGAATGGGAAAAAAAAGAAATCACTTGGCAAGATGTTGTTTATTATTATGTCGATATTATAGGAGGATATGGTTTATTTAATATAGATACTTCATCTAATCCAAAAAATTCCACACTTCAAATGATTTGCGTAAGAAGCAATTAATCTTTTACAATAATAAATGTAAATACATATTGAGCTGAATTGCTCAAATATAGTAAAAATCACTGATTGAAATCATGAAAAGTAAATCACTTAATTAAAATCAGTGAATTTTTCACTAATTCAGTTTTAGAGAGTATGAAACAGCAAAATGCCAATTTTACGATAATAAAATGTACATTACAAGTTTTATAATATTACAGATTACTCAAGAAAATAGGTTTCTGCCTGACATCAGTTTTTTGAATGATATGGAAAGTAGTCATTATTATAATCAATATAGTTCATACAGTCATGGAAATAACGATAAAACAAAATATGAAAATTTTCTAAACAGAGCAATTTCTAAATATTCAGAATCCGAAGGAATGAGGGACGAAAAAGAAATCGAAATTGAAAGTAGAAATTTGTATGAGTTTATTAACTCCTTGAAGAAGGTAATAATCGCATTAATTTCAAATTATATTTGAAGAAATGAAAATTGTATTATTAATCAATTTATTCTTATTAGATTAAATTAACTCAAAATGAAAGAAGAGAATTTGAATACGAAATAATGCGAATTAGCGATTTTCAGAATTTTTATAATCATAACAATACTAATGCAAGCACAATATCAAAGGTAAACAAATGTTATTTCTTGTTATTTATTACGAATATTTAGCTCAAACGAAAATTTATTTAACTCTTCAATTTATATTAATATTGGTATCATCCTACTACACTGAAAAAAGGGTTTGGTATTGATAACCAAACGTTTGGTTGGTATTTAAGCAACCAAAATTTTTTTGTTAAATCAATAAAATTTTAATTGTCTAAATCAAAATTTGTTTGACACAACCAAAATTATAAAAAAGGATTTTTGTTGTCCTAAATAAAGTTTGATTGGGACAACCAAAATTTTGTTGATTCAACAAAAAAATTTCGGTTGCTTAAATACTAACCAAACGTTTGGTTGTCAATAGCAAACCCTTTTTTCAGTGTATGATTATTATTTTTGTTGTTAATAACTTTAGTTTATATTTATTGTTTTTAGATTAATTGGCTCGAAATGATTAAAGCCACTTACAATAATACTAATGTTGTTATTGATGAATCAGAAGAAATAATTGTATATGACAAACCTTACTTCAATAAATTAAGTCAACTACTAGAAAAAACACCTCAAAGAACAATTGGTACAATAAAAATAAAATATTTTAATAAATTTTATATATATATATATATATATATTAAATTAACTAATTAAGGAGGGCTAAAAATTAATCAGATCTGATCATTTTTTTGATTTTTGTAAAAATAGTAAAAAAATCGCACTTTTTTAAAAAAGTGTACGCCATTTTGTCATTTTTTAACTTTTTGACTATTTTATAGATATAACCTACTCATTAGGATGTCTACTTTATAAACTTCGACAAGTTTATTATTCACGATTGCTATGATAACAAACTTTATTATTAAAAAATAATAATTACATTAGATAAAATTGATTCCGTAAAAATGCATTCGGTAAAAAAGTATTTAGGAAATTGTATTTGGGAAAAAAGTTTTCGGGAAATGTACGAGAATCCGATAAGAGGAGCCTCCTCTTAAATTAAATAATGTAAAATTTTAATTAAAATATATAAATCTTTTTCAGTCAATTACATTCATTGGATCTTTATACGGGAGACCATTCCATATTTAGATAAAGAAATAGGACAATTCATTTATGACACGAAGAAAACTGCTAAAGTAGGAATCATCAAACCATCAGAAAGGTCAAATAATTTTGAAATTTTCTATACTTTTTTTTAGTTTTAAAAGGATAGTTTTTATTTCAGCACAAGAATCCCCAAGTCATATATTAACGCAAAAGTGCAGTTTAGTCCCTTTTAACTATTCTAAACACATATATGTTGTTGTTCATCTATTTTTAAATTGAAATTTTCAAAATGTTAGGTGGGAATATTGTTTCAATAGTTTGAAATACAATTTCGGAACGTCTTTTGAATTCATAAAACGTCAATTTCCTAACACGACAAAAGTATCCGTAAGTTATGATTAAAATACAATAATATATAATACAAATAATTTACATTGACAACAGAGTCACAAGTAATGAAATATATTAATTTCTGGTTGGCATAGGCGACAACCATGGCTAAAGAAATCCAACATGAAATTGAAGTAGAAATCTCGAACTCCAATTGGTTAAATAATGAAACAAAGAACCTGGTTAAGGAAAAACTGAAGGCAATGAAGATTGTAATTGGTTATTCAGAATCGTATTTTTCGGAATTTAATTCAAGTGATGAAAATATAAATGATGAGGTATGCTAATATAATTAAACACTAATTTGCAGTAATTTTCACAACTAGTCAGTGAAATTCCATTGATAATATATGGAGCAGGCATTGCAGATTAATAACCCCTTAATGTACATTTTAAATGAGGGGTATCATGCCTAACCAAGATATTGTTTTATACCCTCCAAAAAATTATTTTGATCATAATTTTTTTCATCAAAAAATTATAAAATTAAAATTTACTATATTTTTTGTAATTTTTTTTTTCGTTTATTGGGTAAAAACAATTTTAATATAGGTAAACGAAAGGACTACAAAGCTTCCTCCACGAGGAAGCAAACAAGATTTTAACCCCTTTAAATTACAAAAAATATAGTAAATTTTATAATTTTTTGCATAAAGTTTATAAAAAGATCAATTGAAAAGTTATGAGCATTTAAAAATAAAAAAGTAGGGTGTTCTTTTATTTTCATTTATCGAACATTTTGCTTCCTCATTGTGTGAAGCAAAAAATTTCTTTCAATTATTTGATTGATTTAAAACATTTTGAGTTAAAAAATGTTTTAAATTAATTAAATTTTTTGAATAATTAAAAATTAAGAAAATTTTAATTAATATTTATTTTGCAGGTTCCGTTAGGTCCAGATTATTTCGAAAATAAAATCGCTTTTTTTAAACATATAAGATTTGAAGACGCCAAAAATATTCGTGACCTACAGAGCAATGATTCTGAGCCGTAAGTCATTACTATGTATTAATTTCATCCCAGATAGCACCGAACTTTACAGAAAGTTAATAGGAAGTTAACTAAGATAAGTTTAGAAGTTAACGTTGTTAACTTCCAGTTAACTTCCCAGAAGTTTTAAATGTCCTCAGAGTTTAAGTTAACACTGTTAACACAGAAAAAACCTAAACTCAAAATAAGTCAGGTTGGAGGCGCCACTTTCTATGTCATTTAGCACTGACTCATTTTGAACTGCAACAAAAATGAGACTAGGATTTTTCTGTGAACTTGTTGAAAGGTAGAAAAGTGAATTTGTTGAAAGTTTTGCTGTGTATAATTTTACACAAAATTTTTATGGTAAATTTAAAAATCTATTTTCATGCGCAGAAGTTTTCTATGGCAGCTAGGGCTGCGCAATACTTTTTAATCACATTTTCCTATGTATAGACAAACTATGGGTGTACTAAAATACATACATCTTGAAAAAAAATATTTTTTTTAATTTTGAATTTATCAGAAAAAACTTCTTGTAAAATTTATGCAAACTTACTTAAAAAAAACTTTTTGCAAATTTAGCTTTATAAATTCCAGCAAGTTAGCGAGAAGTTAACAGTGTTAACTTCCGAACTTATGGTCGTTAACTTACTGTTAACTTCCTGCAAAATTCGGTGCTATCTGGGATGTAATAGGAATAGGTTATTTAACTTTAAGGCACATAATTTTAATGTATTTTTACAGAGTTATTATCTCACCACTTACCTATAATGCTGTTTATGAAGATATCTTGAATAGTTTGAGTAAGTTGAAAGAAAATTTACTTTTGTTTAAATGTAAAATACGTTTTGATAACTTTTTTTTATTGATATGAAGTAACTGTGGGATATCAATTACTGCGCTTTCTTTAAAACCTGTTTGATGCATCAAGGGTTACAATTTTGAATTTATTTAATTCCATCATTAAATTCGGATTCAGCGACACCAAAAACCTTTAATACAATGAAATAATATTTTTTTGGGAAATTTTTTTTTATTGTTTTGGGTCCAAAAACGATGATTTTTACACTAGACTGCGAAGGGCTTAAACTATATTATTATTAATTTTATTCTTTAAAATTAAACGTTGATTAATTTGTTCAAATATATTTTATTTTTGGGATTTTAATTTTTGTATAAATATATCTATAAACAACACTAGTAATTGGCAAATTTATCCGAAAATAATAATTTTAGAGTTTATAATTAAAAAAAATTTTGCAATATAGTTGAAGATATAAGTAATTTTCTTTAATATTAATGTTAATTTGTTGAAAAGGTGTTGCAGCTGCTCTACTTTTACTTCCCATATATAATTCGAATTTACCTCAGTAAGTATTTCTATATTTTCAATTACTAAAGTATTAATACTTCACCATTTTATAAAAAGAACTGTACTCTCTAAATTTGAATCAGTGAAATTTCACTAATATGAAATAGTAGGAATTCATCAACTGAATAACATTAGTAAAATTTCCACTGAAATTCAGTAATATTTCACTGAAAATTAGTAGAATTCTTTACTGATTAAAATAGTTAAATCTATTTTACCGATTAACAATAATGTACATTTGACTGTTTAAATCAGTAATAATTCTTTATTACTGGTTTTCAGTTAAATGTGACTGAATTTCAGTGAAAATTTACTAAAATAATTCAGATGGTAAATTCCAACTACTTTTGTCAGTGCAATTTCACTGATTCAAATTTAGAAAGTAAAAAGTTTCAATTTATTATAAACAAAACATTCTTTTAATAACTTGTACTTATTATTTTAACAAATTTTCTCATATATGAGAGATTCTTTTTCAATCGCCCCAGCCCAAAAAGTCAATGTTCTGGGATTGGCTTCATACTTTGGTAAATTGTTGTCCTATATGATAGTAATAAATCCCTAAAATATAAACTAATTAAAAAAATATTTGTAGAAAGTAGAGGGGGTTGAAGTTTTGACGTTAAGGGTAACATAGTCATTTTCAAATCCGTTTAACTATGACAAAAGTTAATGGATTTTAATTTATCTATAATGAATTTTATTGCATTTTTCACGTACTTTTTAAAAATGTATACGAAATTTAAAAAAAAAATTTTTTAACCCCTTTTTTTTCAAAATCAACCCTTATTTTTCGATTTTCACCCCTTCGGGTATTTTTTTTTATTTTTTTTTTATTTTCATTGGAGAGCTGAGGTTTTTTCCGATGAGCTATGTAAATATGAAAATGGGACAACAATAATTTTGTGTGAAACAGAATATTAAAGCGGGCGGTGCCTACCTGGAGATCATCTTTGAGGATTTAGGTAGGCACCGCCTAATTTAATATTATGTTTCTCACAAAATTATTGTTGTCCCATTTTCATATTTACATAGCTCATCGGAAAAAACCTCAGCTTTCCAATGAAAATAAAAAAAAATAAAAAAAAATACCCGAAGGGGTGAAAATCGAAAAATAAGGGTTGATTTTGAAAAAAAAGGGGTTAAAAAATTTTTTTTTTTAATTTCGTATACATTTTTAAAAAGTACGTGAAAAATGCAATAAAATTCATTATAGATAAATTAAAATCCATTAACTTTTGTCATAGTTAAACGGATTTGAAAATGACTATGTTACCCTTAACGTCAAAACTTCAACCCCCTCTACTTTCTACAAATATTTTTTTAATTAGTTTATATTTTAGGGATTTATTACTATCATATAGGACAACAATTTACCAAAGTATGAAGCCAATCCCAGAACATTGACTTTTTGGGCTGGGGCGATTGAAAAAGAATCTCTCATATTTGTATTTAAAAAATTCTTAATTAACCGTATTTTAAAAAAAACTTTCCTCTTTATTTCAACAGTGCGATAAATTACGGATATATAGGTTTTGTAATGGGTCACGAAATGACTCATGGATTTGATGACCAAGGTAATTTGATACACGTATATTTTTAAATATTATATAGTATAATTAAGACCATTATAGAAAAAATCATCTATACTCGGTTGCTTAATGATTTAAGAGGGGAAACTCGTATAAATGCACGTTTTTTCAAGATATTTTATAAAAAAAGTGGTAAAGTTTATTGAATTGAAATAAAGCATACCTTGAAGTGTACAATATAAGCTATGTATAATAATTTTTTAAATTAAAAATATTGCAAAATGGAGATTGGCTACTGGTCTCAAATATTAACCATAATCAAAAAATCAAATCTTTATCGTTTAAGTATACAAAAATACACTTTGCATGTCGAAGAGAAAATTAAAAAAAAAACAATTATTTAAAAATTTGGGACTGTTTTGAAAAAAAATCAATTTTTTTTATAAACAATCTACAAAAAAAACTTTTTTTTAAAAAAAAGCTGCTCGTTACGCAATAGACAGTAAGTTAAAGAAGATTTCTGGTAACTTTACATTTATATGTAAATTTTGATTAGTTGCATTGTCAATTCTTTTAAAATTGAACTTCTTTAACAATTTTTACTATTTTTTATAACCAATTTGTTTTTACACTTTTTTTATAATTTTGAACAATCAATCGTATAGATTAGAAAAATTTTTTCATTATTTAAAAAAATAAAATTTCTAAATTGTCAAAAATATTTATTATTATTATCTATTTTAAATGTGTATATTATTTTTAACATTAGGACGAAAATATGATAAAAATGGAAATAGAATTTCTTGGTGGTCAGACGAAATGATTGGTGAATATGAGAAGAGGGCCGAATGTTTTGTGGATCATTATAATAAGTATAAAGTAAATGAAACTTAATTGAATATTATTCAAACAACACTTTGAATGAGATATAATTGAAAAATAAAAATTTTTATGTAAATTAGGTAGACGGAAAACTAACTCAAAGTGAAACTATTGCTGATACCGGAGGGTTGATTGCAGCTTATGGAGCTTACAAGCAAAAAATGAAGAAAGAAAATATTAAAGATAAACGTTTACCAGGATTAGAAAACTTGGATTCAGATCAATTGTATTTTGTTTCTACGGCTTTTGTAAGTCTTGTTTATGGTTTCAGAATGTTTATGATGATATACGCAATTACTAAAATTTAATTTTATTTATTAGGGATATTGTGAGAGCGGAACACCACAATATTTAGCGAGAAGAAATACTGATGTTCATCCAAAATCGAATTTGAGAATAAATGGACTCATGCCAAACGTAAAAGGATTTAGTGATGCATTTAAATGTGATAAAGAACCAATATGCAAAATATGGGATTGATCTGGATTTAATAAAAAAATTCTCACTTTGAGAATTTTAATGTAATTAATGAAAATTATAATTTTTTTTGTCACAAAATGTGGATCGAGATTCGATTCAAAAGTGATACACGGAAAGAAATCTTGTAAGGATATATTTAATATTTTGACACTCATATTTAGTATATTAAGTTACAATTGCGGAAGATTTTGCAGATTTTGGGGTGGTAATAGATTTCATTACTATTTTGCAAGAATGCCTAAAATAAAAATAATATATTTAGAAACAAAAATAAGAATAGTTTTTGCGAAATTCATAATTGTATTATGAATACTCCAAATGTTAAATTCTAATACGCCCTGTAACAAGTATTAGAATAAAATATTTCATTTTCTGTATTTAGAATTCCGTTAACTGGTATAATCATTTTACATTTTAATATAGTCGATAAGAAAGTGAATTGGTGTTAAAATAGTTTCATTCCTTATATTTACATATAGTAATACTACTCTCTAAATTTGAATCAGCGATATGTATACCACTGGTACCAATCAGCGGATATACGCTGAAAAATCAGTGAAATTCCACTAATTCATCAGTGCATATAAGCTGATTATAATCAGTGGTATACTTATAGCTGAGAATCAGCGAGATTCCGCTGATTCAAATTTAGAGAGTAATAGAAAATTTTTCTTTCAAAAAATGATAGAAAAATATTAAAAATCACCGAACACTGAGAAAAATGTTTAGTCAGAGCAACCAAAATTTGGTTGGGCCACAGTGTTACCAAGTTAGTGGTTTTCCCACTAAATTTATAGTAAGATTTTGGTCCTTCAGTAACATTTTTAGTAGGAGAAATATTTTAGTAGGAAATTTAGTATCTTTTTTTTTTCTTTACCGGGTTTTTTAAGTGTTTTTACCTAAATGTAATTTTTTCTACGTAAATTGTATCTGAAGTATTAAAAGTGTGATCACTAAGTTTAAACTATTTAAGTGAATTTGATTGGTTACACTGATGGCGACCCTATTGAAAAAAAACACGTATAATTATACGTATTATTATACGTACAATTATACGTATAATAAGACATACGAATTTGAAACAAGAATTATACGTATAATTATACGTATAATAATACGTATAATTAATTATACGTATAATAATACGTATAATTATACGTATTATTATGCGTATAATTATAATTCTATTAAAAATAGAATAATAGAATAGAATAGATTAATTAGTAGCAAAATTGCGCTGAAAATTTTTAGAAATTTTAAAATGCAAATTAAATTTCACGAAAAAAAATATCGTCGAATGTCAATTCAAGCAGTCACCCATCCAAGTACTAACCGCGTCCAACGTTGCTAATCTATTCTATTCTATTATTCTAGTTTTAATAGAATTATAATTATACGTATAATAATACGTATAATTATACGTATTATTATACGTATAATTATACGTATAATTCTTGTTTCAAATTCGTATGTCTTATTATACGTATAATTATACGTATAATAATACATATAATTATACGTATAATAATACGTATAATTATGCGTATAATTATGCGTATAATTATACGTGTTTTTTTTCAATAGGGGATTGAGCAAATATTCAGACTGGGCCAATCAAAATTAGTCATACAGTTCTATAAGAAAGGATGCTCTTCTACGTGCCAAGCCCTGCACTGCTGTTTAGTACAGTTTATTCGTGAAGTTTATTTTATTAATGCAATGTCTATTCCGTGTTCTTAAATTTATAAATTTTAAAAATAAATTGTAACTGGAATTAATATTTAAATAAATGAAATTCCAAAAAAATGTCTATCATTATTGTTATATATTTATTACCTTGAACTATATTAAATTTTATTAAACTATTCTCTAACTTTAAATAACTTTTGCATAATAAGTGTCAAAAATTTTAAATTTTGCGTTGAGTTAAGAATTTTTACGTTTTCTATTTATTTATTTTTATTTTTCTAGTGAAAATTAGGGGAAAAAATTTATTTTTAGTGGAAAATATCTAGCCATCTAGGGGGAAAGCGCCACAGTCATGTGACAACACTGTTGGGCCAACAAAAAAATTTTGTTGGTATTTAAGCAACCAAACTATTTGTTTGAGTCAACCAAATAATTTGGTTGAATTTTTTTTGTTGGCATACCAAAAATGTTTCGTTAGCTCAACCAAATTTTTTTTGTTAGGTCAACAAAAATGTTTGGTTGATCAAACCAACAGTTTTTTTTGTAAAATTAAAAATTTTATTCTACCTTATCTCTTTTCTTTTTATCTTTTTTATTTATCTCATTATTTATTTATTTATTATCAATTATTTAACATTGAATTTATATTTATCCAATTGAAATATTTATGGACTTTGAAAAATCTCACCTCCGTCTGGGATCGAACCTCTGTTTTAAAACTGAAGGTCAAGAGTTGTGTTAACCAAATTATTTTGTTGTCGTAATTAAATTTTGGTTGGAATTTAAAAATGTTCAACCAAATAATTTTGTTGGCCTAACCAATTGTTTGGTTGAAATAACCATACGACTTTGTTTCAGTCAACCAAAATTTGGTTACAAGAACCTAAATTGCCTAACCAAACAATTTTGTTGCAAACACTACATTTTTTTCTCATTGAAGTTTGACGAACTTAAGCGAGTGAGTCCGATCGGGTTTGACCGATCACTAACGAGTAGTCACGAAAAAAAAATGTCAGAGAAAAGTCAGGGAATATTTTTCTTTAAGTCTTGCTGGACATCTTGATTTTAAAATAATTTTTAATACTGCAATATGAATCTTCTATTATATTAAGTTAACAAATTTCGAAAAACAACACCGACCCCGTGACCTCGACACCGTCCTTGAAAAATCTATTTTCAATTATTTTCAAATAAATCAAAATACTTTGGATATATGCTTTTAGAAAATCTTACAAACTATTTTTATGTAACATCTTTTTTCAATTTTAACCCGAAAAAGGCTTATTTTGCAATTTTATCCCGAAAAAGGGTTATTTTGCAATTTTTTAAGAATTTTTTGATTTTTTCAATTTTTTATTATTATTTTTTATTATTTATTGTTGGTTTTTCAATTTTTAGTTAGTAACCTATAATATTGTGTCTAATTTTAAGTGTCATTAAAATCAAATATTAATAGATAGAATATTAATAGAATTCGAATAGAATCATTTTTGTGTCGTTTTGTAAATAAATTTAACTTTTTATACAAACTTTTATTTATTTATTTATTTATTTACAGCCTTTATTTATCAAATAAGGATAAAATTTCCGATTAGTTTGAAAAAATTATTACTTAACGATAGGAAAAATATTTGCAAAAATAGTCGGTATAATTTCCAATTGATTCGGAAAAGATGATAAGTAAATATGAGAAAAAATATCTAGTAGATTTGGAAAACATACTGAAAAACATTGGGGATAATATCTGTCAAATTAGTAAAAAAAAACCCGACTTACAGGATTTTTGTTATTCGGGAGTTTTCAGGGATGCTGATACCAACTAATAGGGTCAGTTGGGGTATTATTGTCCTTGGATTTTTATGTTTCTTGTAATAAAGTATAGAAACTTGAAAAGATTAAAATGTTATTATTGTTGCCTTGCTTTTAAATTTTATTTGCAATAAAAGTTTTGAAATCGTTAAAAATTTTTGAAAAATTTTTTTGCCAAAAGTAGTTGGGAAATTATAAAATTAAGTAAATATTTTTTAACGAATTAGTATTACTTTAATAGTTATCAATTATTATGATAATAATCAATTCTTATATTAATTCGTTAAAAAGTATTTACTTAATTTTATAATTGCAACTACTTTGGGACCGTCCATAAACTACGTTACCAATTTTTCATACTTTTTAGACCTCTTTAGGCAAAATAATTTAAAAAAAAAACTTTTTAACGATTTCAAAACTTTTTTAAAAAATAAATTTAAAAGAGCAAGGCAACAATAATTCTTTTTAATGTTTTCACGTTTCTATATTTTTATTACAAAAAACATAAAATCCAAAGTCAACAATATTTAATAATAATCTTCGGAATGAAGTAAAAATATGTTTTTGCATTTTTTAACGAGTTTAAAACTTTTCTTTTATGAAAAAATTACAATGCAGCCAAAATAATAATTCTTCCAATTTTTTCAACATGTTTTCATTCTTTTTCTATCGATAATTTTAATTTATTAGCAAAATAATAATATTCGTCATTTACTATATATATTAGTTGATATCAAATTTATAATCAGCATCCTTCAAAACTCCCGAGTAACAAATTTCAAATTATTTTATTAAAATCATTGTCTAAATAAACATTTTGTTTTGTAACCTTTAATATTAAATTATTTAATTTGTTTATAAAATATAAACTTTTTCCGTTTAATTTTATTTCGTTTAGGAAAGCAGTGTTTTGAACTATATGATCTTGTAAAGGATCCTACATAAAATCATATATAGGATCTCATGTAAGAATTCATCATACAGAAATATATTATAAAAATCCATTTAAAATCTTATGTAGGATCATATATAAAATCCTATACAGGATCCTTTATTGGATTTCATGTAAGAATTCATCACATAGGAATTTATGTGGGATGTCATGTGAGGATTTCATTGTTTTAATTGTCCATCTAAGATACCAAGTCGGAAATTATATGAGAAATTATGTCGGAAATTATATAGGAAATTATATAGGAAATTCAAATATAGATGTATATCATCATATTTCCACTCTTACGCCGCCAGATGGTGCTAATTTTTTTTCTTACAGTTGAGATCAGTCTTGAATACTATAAAAGCTGAGACTCTAATTTAGAAGGTGTATTGCAAAGCACAATTTCTTTTCTTTTCAGCTGAATTACAGTAATATTATTTGATTTTTAATTAAATAATTTTTAAGTTTTATAAACTGCCGTCTGCCAACTGAAAATTCTTATATGAAATCCTATATTGTTTCCTTTATATAATTCTATGTGAAATCTTAAATATAAATATTTCAGAATCTACATGAAATCCTTATGATCCCACGTGAGGATTTTTAATATGATTTCATGGCAGATTTTTTGTAATAATTTTTTATTCAAGAATCGAAAGAAGATTTGATGTATGATTTGATATAGGAAAATTTCTCGTTAAGGATTGAGCAATGAATTTTGGTATGTTTTTTAGTGAGAAAACACGAAGGAAATTGACATAAGAAATTGAAAGAAAAAATGTGACTAGAAAAAATTGTAGGATTTCACATAGGAATTTACATAACTTATTACCTAAGAATACGTTTGTAAGAATTTACATCGAATCCTACTTCAAATCATGTCTCAATTTCCTATATTATTTTTCATAGGATCCTATATAGTTTCTTACATGACACATAGGATTTTATGTGGATTTTAATATATGAATTTATGTGAGAACCTATATAAGATCCTATATGATAATTTTCAGTAGGGTGTTATTTGTGTTAATTTAAGGTGGTTTAAACAGAGATAATATACATAGTTGCTCATATTTTCTCAAAATAAAGTAATTTTGCCCTGCATTTTACCCATTTTTCATCCGTTCACAGAAAATTAAAAGGCATTAAAATAAGCTGCAACGCTTCTTATTTTAATCCAATTTTGCTTATTTTAATCCATTTTGGTATTAAAATAAGCAAAATTGGATTAAAATAAGAAGCGTTGCAGCTTATTTTAATGCCTTTTAATTTTCTGTGTTTTTGTCTTTTTTTGTCCTTTTTTTAAAAAAGAGGTATAACTTTTTTGTTTTAATCGCTATTAAAAATTGTCAGAGGAAAAAAGTGTTAATTTTTCTCGTATTTTTCGAAAAAAAATTGAAAAATTTTTTTTTTAAAAATTGCGAATTTTTGAAACTTTTAAAAACTCAAAATTTGAATAATTTTTTTGATTTTTGACGAAAGCATCTGGCCAACGAACTCAGGCGAGATTTTAGTACACTTAAAGTGTATACCAAATTTGAAGTCGATTCATTAATATTTGTTCGAGTTATCGTCGGACAAAATTTGTCTACAGACATACATACATACAGACATACATAAAAAAAATTTTTTTAAGACCCACTTTTTCGGCATCAGAAAGTCTCAAAACGTCGAGATTCACTGGAATTAGAGAATGCTCAAAATCGCCCAAATGTAATACCTTCTCATTATGATGAGAATGTAAAAATTCAATAGTAAAAATTTTTTTTTCCACTATTAATTATAGTTAAATTTTACTATTTCAAAAGCAAATAGTGACTAACTAATTCAAATTTAGTTGAAATTTATAACTAATTCAAATTTAGAGAGTAGATTAAAAAAAAAATTGCGTTTCTAAATTATATCATTATTAAAATAATAAGAATTTCGTTTTGATCGATTGCAAAAACATTTTTTCAATTTAGTATAAAATTATATTTAAAGAAAAATATCAAAAATAAATAAATCAAATATTTTTCTATATGTGACTATATTTTTATACTGTTAAGCTGTCGTCTGATATTTTTTATTTATTTTTTTTTCAAACATTTTTATATTTTCACGAGTTATGTTTGCATGTAAAAATTTTATTGGATTTAAGAATATTAAACACTGTTCAAATAATATATTTAATGGAATGATTATACTTCATGAAAAAATATTTTCAATTTATTTGATTTTAGTGTAATTTTAAATTAAAATATTTTTACACGTTTATGTTAATAATAGAATGATATATATATATTTTTTTTTTTAATGCGCAATTGTTTAATTTAAACGCATAAATATTAAAATAATAATACTGAATTGAGTATTGGAAATAAACACAAAGAAAAAGAACAAAGTTTACCAAACATATTGTTAAAAATTTTATTTTGAAGCGCACTAAGTTTCTATATGATTCTTACTACAACTGTGGAATTTTCTTGTAGAGCACAGTGAAATTAAATAAATATATATTTAATATAAAATATATACGAAAATTGTACGACATACAAATATTTCTTTTCACGTGTATGTTAATTAGCATATATATTTTTTATATACAATTATTTTGTTCAAACATTAGACAAATATAATTTGTATATCCTAAAATTTGGTCCTAAATTTATACGACATTCAAATATCATTTGAATATCGTATAATCACATTACAAATTTTTTAGCACGTGTATGTTAATTAGTATATATTATTTTGTATAATGCGCGAATAGTTTAATTAAAAATTAATAAGTATTTAACAAATTATATTTTTGTACATATCCCAGGTGCGAGTTGGCGGTCGGCCCCAAGTTGGGCCAACTATGTGCCCAGTCGGTCCACCTTGGGCAGCCAGAGGACGAGCCAACTATAGCGAATTGATAACGTCAACCGACCTATAGGGTAGACTTAGTTGGCCCAACTATGAGTACCCAAGTCGGGCCAACTGTGGCTGCCCTAGTTGGGCCAACCGTTGGAGACGACTGTCGGCAGCCACAGTTGGCCCAACTCGGGCTACCATAGTCGGGCCAACTGTGGCTGCCCTAGTTTTGCCGACTGTTGTGGACGACGGTCGGCAGCCAAAGGTCGGGCCAACTAGCGAATTGATAACGTCAAAAAAAAACGCTTATTAAAAAATGATCAACTCACATTCAGACTTCTGTAACATTGATAAAGAATAATAATATATAAAAATCTTCCAAAATGTTTTTAAATCAATCAACAAAAACTTCACGTTCCTTTGGTAATATATAATTATTGTCAATTTTCTAATTTCAAAATTTAAAAATAAAATTCAAAATTTTACAGAATTAAGTAAAAAAAAAAAAAAATTACAAATATTTATACATAAAAATGATAATTGTGTTGAATACATAACACTTTTTTTTAATTTACAAAATTAAATAACTATATATTTAATATAAACTTACGACTCTAAATTGAACACAGAAAAACCCTACATCATTAACTTTGCATAAAAAATTTCTACATCTTTATATAATATTTTGAAATGAAATTCTTAAACAAAAATTTGCTTTTTAAACTGTGTATATAATAGAATTTGTACCGCTACGAAAATATGTTCTAGAAAGAAAATTAGAAAAATAAAGAAAATATTTCACAAAATTAAAAAAAAAAAATTGGGACGTCGAATTGGCAGAAAAAAAAACTTGGCAGAAACATTTTAGCGGGAGTTTTAGAATCAACCAATCAAAAATTATCAAGAAAATTGTGATTAGTTGATTTTTAAATTCTCGCTGAATTTCTATCTAATATGAAAATTCGGATAAATGAAACTTAGGTAAAATAAAATATCGGTAAAATAGAAATTCTCTGTCTTAAAAATTTAGCTACGTAGAATTTCTGTTAAATAACAATGCTATTAAATCGAGGGGGAATTTACTAGTTAAAAACGTGTACACTTGACTACCGGTATTACACCTCATATTACCCTTATTACTAAGTTATTACACGTTATTACAGAGTATTACACATTATTACAGAGATATTACAGATTTTTTTGCGTTATTACAGCACCGTAATAACGCATTATTACACGTTATTACACAAGTATTACAGGAAGAGTGTACACTTGACTACCTGAGTAAATTCCCCCTCGTATTAAATATAAATTAGATTGTATAGAAATTTTTTGAATAAAACTTTTGTTAAATAAGAATTTTGTTATATAGAAATTCTTTTAATTGGAAATTCTGTTAATAAAAATACTTTAAAGTGAATATTCTGAAAAATAGAAATTCAACAAATGAACAATTTTGATAAATAAAAATTCTTTTTTATGAAAATTTTTCTAGATATAAATTTTGTTAAATGGAAATTGTATTATTTGAAAATTCGATTTATTAGAAAATCTGCTTTATCACAGTTCCAGTTAAATAGAAATTCTACAACTGCAGAATTTTGTTCAATATAGAAATTTTTCGATATTAAAATTGGGCTCATTATAAAATCCACTTTTTTAAAATTCTACTCAATGTAAATTCAATAATTTTTATTTCGACAAAAATTTCGGCAAGTCTAATAAAGGGAATATTTATTAGTCCCACAAAAAATTATTAATTTTTTATAGTAAATGTATTTGAATAAATATTGAGCAATATAATTGTTTAATATAATTATTGACAGTATTTTTTTCTATTTTTGGAGCATACTTTATTAATTCACCATCTCTACAAATAAAGAGTGTTGACTATAAAAACGCTTAATAAAAAATGATCAACTCACATTCAGACTGCTGTAACATTGATAAAGAATAATAATATATAAAAATCTTCCAAAATGTTTTTAAATCAATCAACAAAAACTTCACGTTCCTTTGGTAATATATAATTATTGTCAATTTTCTTATTTTCAAAATTTAAAAATAAAATTCAAAATTTTACAGAATTAAGTAAAAAAAAAAAAAAATTACAAATATTTATACATAAAAATGATAATTGTGTTGAATACATAACTTTTTTTGAAAACATTTATAATCAATGAGATTTTTTTTTTTAAATTTCTTTCAGGAATTTTTTCTATTCCCTATTTTCTACTTATGATATTTCTCATAAAAGAATGTAGTAGTCGTTTAATTTGCCATTCGTCTTCTAATCTGGAAGCTGGACAAAAATATGAAATCTCTCATACGGGTTTTCAAGAGAAAGATTTTGATGATTCCAGTTGCATTTGGGATCTAAACACTTCTGATGACAAAAGACTTCAACTAAATTGTACAGTGAAATTATCATCGGTGAGTTATTTATATATATATATATATACTAGTTAAATCCACGTTAAAAATCAAAAACGAAAATTTTCAGAAAATTATAAAAAATACAATTTTGTTATTATAATAGAAAAAAATAAAAAAACAAAATTTTTTTTAGAGTTTTTTTCAATTTTGACACTGATTTTTTAATTTTTTAATAATATTTACTTTTTTTTATTGCTTTGAATAATTATTTGTTTAGTTAACCTTTTGTAATATTATTATAATCTTATGTGTAATATTAACCAGTTTCATTACAACTTATTTAAAATTTTAAATATTATATAAAATAAAAACTTTGCTACAAATCTACTAATAAAATATTAATTTAATTGAATTTTCGATTGTTATAGTCAAGTAATTAAAAAATAAAAAAAAACACTAAATTAAATTTTGTTTTTCATTTTTTCTATTATAATAACAAAATTTTATTTTTATTTTATAATTTTCTAAAATTTTCGTACAATTTTACACTGAAAAAAAACTAGTAGGTTTTACTACTTTTTAACTACTCTGAGTAGTACAATAGGCCCTCAACTGAATTTAAACGGTTGTATTAACTATATAAAAATAGTTAAACCAATTAAAAATGTAATTGGTAGAATGACATTTGGTGATTGTATTAACTCAATTTAAAAATGTTAAAACAACTCAAGATGTAAGTAGTAGATTTTACTACTTAAAGTGGTTCAATAGGCTTTAAGAACATTTTTTTGGTACATTTAATAAATATTTTGCAATTGAAACTACGACTTTAAGTAGTAAACTTTACAACTGAAAGTGGTTCAATAGGCTTTAGGAACATTTTTTTGTAGAATTAATAAATCTTTTGCAATTAAAACTACTACTTTAAGTAGTAGATTTTACTACTTAAAATAGGAAAATAAAATTATTTTTTATTTATAATTGTTTATTATCAGTAGAATTGACTTTTTCATCCTCTCTCCTATACTGACGCTTATTTTATGTCCTAACGATTATGTACCTAACAGAGAAAATTTCTAACCGACGGGAATTGAACCCTCGACCCTAACGCTCGCTATCCGATACCTTAACCGACTAACCACGCACGCTGACTACTTTCTGCTTGTCCAATTGGTAATTTACCTATTTAAAGTAGTCATTTTTACTACTTTTATTAGTTGCTATAACTATTTTTTTTTAAGTTTGACTTATAAAGTTTTCATCTTTTAATTATATTATAAGTTGTTTAATTGCAAAGTGCAGTAAAATCTACTACTTAAAGTGATAGTTTTAATTGCAAAGGATTTTTTAATTCTACGACATAAATGTTCTTAAAGCCTATTGAACCACTTTAAGTAGTAAAAGCTACTACTGAAAGTAGTAGTTTTAACTGGAAACGATTCGTAAATTTTACATCAAAAATCTGCTTTAAGTTTATCGAATTAATTGAAATAGTAAAAATCTACTACTTAAAGTAGTAGTTTTAATTATACAGACGACTTTTTAATTCTACAACAAGAATTTTATTGAAGCCTATAAAATCATAGAAATTAATAAAAAATTTACTACTCAAAAAGCAGTTATATTAATTAAAGAAAATAATTCCTTTTACTACATTTCATATAACTGATGAATAGTAGTTGGATTTACTACTCTTCAAATTTTGAGTTGACTACAATTCCACTTGTTTTTACTACCATAAGAAAGTTAATTTTACTACCGACCTGTATAGCTGTACTTTAGCTACATATATTTACGTAAAATCAACTATTACTTATTAACTCCTTGAAAATAGTTACATAACTACATGAACATGATTAGATTAACTAAAAAAGTAGTTATTTTAACTACTTTCTAGTCAACTACCCAATGGTAGTTGAATTACTTGGCAAAATTTTTTACAGTGTAGATATTTTAATAATTCTTCTTAGATTGCTCTTATATATGAAGCTATAATTTAACCAAGTACGATTAAAATCGAAGAACCGCTTGCAGATTCTGATATTTCTGACACGAAAGTACATTATATACATTTCTACATAATGGAGTCAAAAATTTTATTAAAAACACATATATAATCAAACTTTTTTACACTTTTTGTTATTGAATTAATTTTAATATTAATTATTATGTTATTGCAAAATTTAAAGGTTTAGTAATGTTCCAGTAAAAAATTAAAAATTTCAAATTTTGATCTAAACAACATATATTTTGATAAAGTACTAAATTCGATAATATTACATTTTTAATTCGGACATTTCTTGAATTTTGATTCTTATAAGTTGCATCGTCTGCATCGATTCACTATAAAGGACTTTAATTCAACTATAAATAAAAATACAAGAATTTCTTAACACAGTTTTCCTAAAAGTATCCAGGAACTAGCGCCAATTCGAGTTAGTGGCCACTCAAAGAAATAATAAAAACCTATTAACTCCGCTTTAACTTAAATTTTTAAATTATTTCCAATTCAATTACAGTAAATAAGTAGAACAGCCCAATTCCTTCAACACTTTTTTATCATTCCTTAAAATTTCAACCCGAAATTTCTTCTCATTTCCAAGAATACTTGGAACTACCAAAAAGTGACTTTGTCTCACATGGCCTTAAAGTTCACAGCACAGTTTTCCTAAAAGTCTCAAATTGAGACCAAAAATTGCATCAAATCTTTGCAACGTTTTGATGCACATAAGTTATATCAAAAAGAGATCGTTTTGTGTATAATTTTTAGAAATGATACACGAAACGGTCTCATTTTTTGATGCAAAAAATTGAATCAATTTATATCAATCATGGCCGAAAAGAATCGACTCAAAATTGAACGAATTTTTTTCAGATATTTTGGTAATAGTACAATTGCGGAGACCATTGCGCTATTTAATTTGAATATGAAAAAAAAGAAAATCAAAGACAATGTGCAATTCGATAATTAAAAAGTGACAGCTTATAAACATAACCTAAAATGCATGAGAAAAAATTTGTCGATAAAATCAATATAGCCGAGCTTTTTAGAAGGTAGATGGCAGTTTTGCTTTTTATAAAAACGATTCAGAAAAATTTAAAGAAAGAAAATAGATGAGTGCTGCCATCTACCTTCTAAAAAGCTCGGCTATATTGATTTTATCGACAAATTTTTTCTCATGCATTTTAGGTTATGTTTATAAGCTGTCACTTTTTAATTATCGAATTGCACATTGTCTTTGATTTTCTTTTTTTTTCATATTCAAATTAAATAGTGAAATGGTCTCCGCAATTGTACTATTACCAAAATATCTGAAAAAAATTCGTTTAATTTTGAGTCGATTCAATTCGGCCATGATTGATATAAATTGATTAAATTTTTTGCATCAAAAAATGAGACCGTTTCGTGTATCATTTCTAAAAATGATACACAAAACGATCTCTTTTTGATATAACTTATGTGCATCAAAACGTTGCAATAGAAAAAGATACAACCAAGTTTACTGTGAACTTTAAGGCCATGTGAGACAAAGTCACTTTTTGGTAGTTCCAAGTATTCTTGGAAATGAGAAGAAATTTCGGGTTGAAATTTTGAGGAATGATAAAAAAGTGTTGAAGGAATTGGGCTGTTCTACTTATTTACTGTAATTGAATTGGAAATAATTTAAAAATTTAAGTTAAAGCGGAGTTAATAGGTTTTTATTATTTCTTTGAGTGGCCACTAACTCGAATTGGCGCTAGTTCCTGGACCCCCGCCATGTTGACTTCAACTTTCATTCAAAAATGGGAATTTCCAAACTTTTATTTTTAATACTTAAACGCAAAATTGTGCATGGGGGTCACGTGGGTATTTCCCACATGGCCTTAAAAAAAACATTTTAATTTTATATTTTGAATCATATTAATTTTTTTTTTTTAATTTTTCTATAGGCAACATGTGACACACAAGCTGTTGAACTTTACACAAATTTTAAAGAGACACAAAGTAATCCCGATCAGTATTGTGAAACCACTTCATTTATCACAACATCCTTAGGACCAAGCACAAGAATTGTTAGTCGAAGTCAATTTAAGACATCAAGAGGAAATTTTACATGCAACATTGAAGTAGTTCCAGTTCCCGTGCTAGTGCCGACATTTGATTCTCAGTACTGGCAATATAACGTCTGATAACCGACTATAGACTCTGATATTCTTTCAAAATATATAAGTTTACTGAAAACTTGTATATATTTGTGTTAATTAAAAAAAACAAGAATTAACAAGAATGCTGAAGAAAATAAAATAATTTTAATTGTTATAAGGATTAGTGTGATTTTCTTTAAAAAAAAAAATAAAGACAAAATATGTTTAAATTAATTCGATTAATTGATAAAAATAATTGCAACGTAAATACCTATTTCTTAAAAAAAAAAATTTGTTCGAAGTACCAAATTTAGGTACTTTATTTTTATTTTATGCTTAAGCAAAAAAAAAATTGAGATCCTAAGTTAAAACATCTAAAAATGCTAACTTCAATTGGACAGTATAGTGAATTTTTTTCATTTTTCAGTAAGGAAGACGATAGTACTATTTTTTTTGTAATAAAGTGAAAAAAAATTGTAAAACAAGTTGTAATAAGAAAATATTAAAATAAAAAAAATCATTCTAACAATAATATCAACAGTAATTTTTCAATAAAAAAAAACTGCTAAGAGAGAAAAGTTGTGTTTTTCCCATTCTCTACAAGATAGCGTTTTTAAAAAATTAAAATTTTCAATACTTTTTCGATTCTCAAGCGTCGAACGAGTTATAGAGTTGGGGACTCTTAATTGTAGATCTTTAATAATAATAATCATTTGAAAAAAAAATTGTAAAAGAAAAAATAAAGCTTTACGCATTTTGTGAAGAAATTTGTTACTAAAAAAAAGTAAATCTTCTGTGTTCTTTGAAAACTTTTATTGTTGATTTTTATCCCCTATAAAAAAAATAATTAAGGCCAGGTCCAAGTGAGGCAGCGCCATCTACATTGATACTAAAATTTTGGAAAATTTTCAACAGCCTTTTCTTGAAAACAAGATGGTAAAATGCTTTTTCCTTTATGGATAATTGATTATTGGCAAGATATACACCAGCTAAAACTTTTTTTGAGTTAAAATAATAAAAAAAAATTTCATGTCAATAAATTAAATATGAGCACTTTTTTTTACAAAAACTGTAACAGTATTTTCTCAGAAATTACAATCAAAAATGCAATTTCCATTTGGAAAATTAATAAACGCTAAAAAATACACGACCTAAGATTTACCTATCACGAAAATAACAAAAAAAAGTATTTTAACATAACATATTTTACTCATTATGACAGTCGTTTGGCAGGTTATATATGTCACCAGACGTTTCGCAGTTTTGCCGAAAGGAGGAGATTGGCGCTGTTGCTAACCACCTGAAATACATAATCTACCAAAGGGCTGTCACAATCAGTAAAGCAGTATCAATATATTAAATATTTAATAAAATTTTTTTTTTGTTATTTTCATGATTGGTAAATCTTAGGTCGTGTATTTTTTAGCGTTTATTAATTTTCCAAATGGAAATTGCATTTTTGATTGTAATTTCTGAGAAAGTACTGTTACAGTTTTTGTGAAAAAAGTGCTCATATTTAATTTATTGACGGGTCAATCCATTATATTTCGACTGAAGTGGTCGCTGACTAATTTTTAAAAATTATAATACTTTGCAGGAATGATTTTGAAGTTATCAAGATCACGAAATGAAAAGAATTTTATTAAAATTTTAATTATTTATTGCAAAATATGACTTTAAAGTATATGAGGTGCTGAAAACTGTCAATTTTTTAGCCATTAGAAAATATGCAAAAATACGTAGAATTTACCATAAAAATAAAAAATTTTTTTTGTAATTTACTAAGAATGAATAAATTTATCATTATCAATTGATGTAATTATTTAAATATGTGAAATAATATATAAAATATGATTTTCAAGTTCGCCTGTCAAATAACCTAAATTTGCAAATTTCATCTATTAAATGTGAGAAAGAGAAGTCATTAAATTGAAAAAAACCTTACCAAATATAAAGTACCTGTGACTAACTTTTAGTTTTTCTTAGCACTTTTTTCCTTTTTTCTTCATAAATGTGAAATAAAAAGCAATAAAAATTGGCATTTTGCTTATTTTCACTATTTTCAAATTTAAATAACTTTCTTGGAGAAAACTGAAAAATTACAAAACTTGGGCAATATCTAATTGATCACTAAATACACACACTGGAAAAAAATTCGCTTTGGTCCCGAAGATACTTTTTGAGATAATTAAGTTTAAATTTTTCACAATTTTTATAAGGTTAATGCATGTGATTTTTATAAAATTGAAGTTAGTTCAAAATATTTAACCAATAAAACCTAACTTCGTCCTTAAAAAACTACATGTATTAACCTGATAAAAATTGTGAAAAGTTTAAACTTAATTATCTCAAAAAGTATCTTCGGGACCAAAGCGAATTTTTTTCCAGTGTGTGTATTTAGTGATCAATTAGATATGGCCCAAGTATTGTAATTTTTCAGTTTTCTCCAAGAAAGTTATTTACATTTGAAAATAGTGAAAATAAGCAAAGTGACAATTTTTATTGCTTTTTATTTCACATTTATGAAGAAAAAAGGAAAAAAGTGCTAAGAAAAACTAAAAGTTAGTCACAGGTACTTTATATTTGGTAAGGTTTTTTTCAATTTAATGACTTCTCTTTCTCACATTTAATAGATGAAATTTGCAAATTTAGGTTATTTGACAGGCGAACTTGAAAATCATATTTTATATATTATTTCACATATTTAAATAATTACATCAATTGATAATGATAAATTTATTCATTCTTAGTAAATTACAAAAAAAATTTTTTATTTTTATGGTAAATTCTACGTATTTTTGCATATTTTCTAATGGCTAAAAAATTGACAGTTTTCAGCACCTCATATACTTTAAAGTCATATTTTGCAATAAATAATTAAAATTTTATTAAAATTCTTTTCATTTCGTGATCTTGATAACTTCAAAATCATTCCTGCAAAGTATTATAATTTTTAAAAATTAGTCAGCGACCACTTCATTCGAAATATAATGGATTGACCCTGACATGAAATTTTTTTTTATTATTTTAACTCAAAAAAAGTTTTAGCTGGTGTATATCTTGCCAATAATCAATTATCCATAAAGGAAAAAGCATTTTACCATCTTGTTTTCAAGAAAAGGCTGTTGAAAATTTTCCAAAATTTTAGTTTCAATGTAGATGGCGCTGCCTCACTTGGACCTGGCCTTAATCCTCTCCCACTCAATGGTGAAAATAAAAAAAAAATGCAACAAAAATTGGCTTTAACATTTTATTTAATGTTTCTCATCACTCAATTACATAAATTAAACTGAGTTAAAAATAAAGTTAATTCACATTTTTCAACTATGTATGGCTGTAGAAACATACACTTATGCAAACTGAAAATAATAAATTTGCAAATTCGTAATAAAAAAATACTCAAAAAAAAAAAAAATTATACAGCATCAGAATGGTATGTAAAACACTTTATATATATATATGAAAATCTGCGCATATTTTTTCAAATTATACAAAATATTCTTAAATGATATTAAGAGAAAAAAAATTACATATATCCAAAAATTTGATTCTTAAATTTATATCGAAAATTATACGCCGAAGAAAAAAAAGGAAATCTATGTACATAGTTATTTTTCTAACACATTATTTCGAGTTTTAAACTTATTCTACAAAAAAAAAAAATCATAGTAAACATAGGTACCTACTTTACAATTAAATTTACCTGATGATTTTTCGAATACTGTACATACTTGCTTAAAATGATTTCATAACATAAAAATTTTAGAAGCGATTAAATGATTCCTTGCATTTTTCTCTTTTAAACTTATATCTCTCGTCTATTCTTACTAAACTAAAAAAGAAACATTAGTTTGTGTAAAAAAAAGAAGCAACGCCATTTTTCTAAAATGAAAAATTCAAAATCTTCCTCTATAGATACAAATATCAAATTGTTTATCAGATGCGCATATATAAAATTGAAAATGAAAAAAGAAAAAAAAAATTTTTTACGTATCAGATAATTCTTGATAACGAGCGTACATCATTTTCTTAACACAATCCTTGTACGTGTCACCAGGCAATGCATTGTAGGAAGAACTCTTTGCTCCCAATCCAGCAGTAGGTACTCGACGTTCTGTTTCAATAATACTTGTTCTCCCTTGATTTGTTTTACCCAATCCCATTCCCTCGCTCCAACCCATTTTTTGCAATAATTTATTGCCAACATTATCCGAGCCAATTCCAGCGCGCGTTGGCTCCTCATAAGAAACACTAATCTCTTCTACTCTTGTTTTAAGAAATTTCTCCTTCAATTTATTTGGTTGCGGTGGTTCAGGTTCACCATATTTTGCCCTTCTCTCTTTTGCGCGATCTCGATATTTATTATTTCTTTGTTGTGGATCATTTGGATCTAAACCACGTACCTTGTACCATTGCTCAAGATTTTGTTTATGAAGATCTGATAATTGTTGATGTCGCACCAAACCTTCTTTACTGGGAAATTGACGTTTACAAAGTAAGCATGCAATTTTAATCCAATCAGTGTGCTGTTTATCTTCTTGTTGAACATCTTCTATTTCTTCTTCGGTGTCACTACCACCACCATAAGCGGCAACAAGTCCATTATTTTTTGCTTGCTCCTCTTCATCAAGATAAACTGTTGATAGTGCTTTCTTTTCTAATATTGCATAACCAGCGTCAGCAGCACCGCTACCGGAACCTTGTTGACCATCTGGTCCAACATACTCTGAACTCCAATTACTTTTTGCATTTTCTTTCTTTTGATTCAATGTTTTCGCCCAACGTTCCATGTCCTTTGCTATTTTCTTTGCTACTTTCACTTTATCTTGCTTAGTTTCCTTTTTTTTACTCTCATCATCTTTTAGTGCATCTTGTGATGCATTTAAATTTGTTGTTGGCTCTGCTCCAATGACAACAGTCGATGGAGTTACAGCTGGTCCAATTTGAGTAGGTGATGTCTGTAAATTTATGAAATTTTATTCCATTAAGGAGGAATCGGTCACACAATAAAAAATGTTAAAAATTTTTGAAAATTTAAGAACTGTTATAATTTTAGTATATAACAAGAATGCAAAATTTCAGAATTTTTCACTAAATAATTTAGAAGTTACAAAATTGCTAATTTAACATTCTTTCTTATTGGAGGAACTGTAAGTTATTTCTTTAGAAGTAACATAAAATAATAAATGGGTCATTCCATTTTATTTTCACCTATAGTCGTTGCGGCCTATTTTTAGAAAAATTTGGTAATTTGTATTAATGACTTTTAATATCCGTACAATTCATTTTTGACAATTATTTTATGAAATTTTCTTTTATTAGCGTTGAAATTTAGTTTTTAAATTGAGTTGCACGGAAAATAGGTTAGTTTGACAACTTTGGAAATTTTATAAAAAAGAACGAAAATAATTTAGTTAGTAAATTTTATTTCGTTGATATTTGTTGAAAATAGTCTAATTTACCAATGTTAATTGATAATTTTGTAAAAAAAAAAGGCCAAAATACTATGTGAAAATTAATATCCAAACTTACCTGTAAAATGTCAAAATTTGTCACTTTTTATTTATATTTTCCCAGAAAGTTTATAAATGGGTCAGTCCACTGACTTTCGTCTAATAGTGGTTGCGACCAAATTTTAAAAAAATCTAGTTTTAATATATGTGAAACTCGATGATTCCCTGAGTTCATTAATCATAATATTATGGTAAAAATTTTATTCCCTTTAAAAATATTAAATATCAAAAGTAGGAGGTTCACAATGTGATTTTGTAACCTTAAATTTTTCAATTTTTTTAAAAACGCTATTATTAAAAAACTATTAAAAATTAGATGTTGGAACTCACCAAAAACATAAATCACTTTATTCTGCACAGAGGAATGAAAGAATTATTGCAAAAATTTATTATTTTTGAATGATATACGATTTTAAAAAGAATTTTATTTAAATATTCTCAAGATTTTTATTTACTTATAACTTTTTTGTCGGTGCTCCGAAAAAATTGAGGTTTTGCACATAGATTTTTAATAATATTCTTTACCTTTTATTAAAATCTTACCAAGGTGTTTTGCTTCGTTTTGGAGATATTAATTTTCAAAATTTTTTATTTAAAAAGGTTAATTAAAAGACTTGAAGTTAAATAACCAAATTCAAACTGCTCCATTTTTTATAAAAATATATTAAAATGTAGCGATTTGAAATTGGTCAGTTAACTTCAAGTCTTTTAATTAACCTTTTTAAATAAAAAATTTTGAAAATTAATATCTCCAAAACGAAGCAAAACACCTTCGTAAGATTTTAATAGAAGGTAAAGAATATTATAAAAAATCTTTGTGCGAAACCTCAATTTTTTCGGAGCACCGACAAAAAAGTTATAAGTAAATAAAAATCTTGAGAATATTTAAATAAAATTTTTTTTAAAATCGTATATCATCCAAAAATAATAAATTTTTGCAATAATTCTTTCGTTCCTCTGTGCAGAATAAAGTGATTTATGTTTTTGGTAAGTTCCAACATCAAATTTTTAATAGTTTTTTAATAATAGCGTTTATAAAAAAATTGAAAATTTAAGGTTACAAAATCACATTGTGAACCTCCTACTTTTGATATTTAATATTTTTAAAGGGAATAAAATTTTTACCATAATATTATGGTTAATGAACTCAGGGAATTACAGGTAAGTTTGAATATTAATTTTCACGTAGTATTTTGGCCTTTTTCACACAATTATGAATTAACATTGGTAAATTAGACTATTTCAAACAAATATGAATGAAAAAAAATTTACTAACTGAATTATTTCTGTTCTTTTTTATAAAATTTCCAAAGCTGTCAAACTAACCTATTTTCCGTTCAACTCAATTTAAAAACTAAATTTCAACGTAAATAAAAAAAAATTTCCGTCAAAAATGAATTGTACGGATATTAAAAGTCATTAATACAAAATACCAAATTTTTCTAAAAGTAGGCCGCAACGACTATAGGTGAAATAAAATGGAATGATCCAAAAATATAAATGTCAACTTTTTTTGGAACAAAATGTCAAATTAAAATTTTAAAAATTAGTGGAAATAAAAAAATCAAATTTTACCTTAGCTGGTAGATATTGCATCGAATCAGCGTCCCAATAAAGAAACTGTTGTGTATGACTATTGTAGTAATATTGTGAATTAGGATCGTAATACAATCCTGTACTTGGATCATAGTAATATCCTGAAGATTCATCATAGTGATACGTACTGATATCGGGAACAGCTAGAAAAAAAGTCTTCCATTATTCCAAACTGTTACAAAAATTTGATGAGATAAAAAAAAGAAGATAAATTTATTACCACATTGTACTCAACAATAATTGTAATATAGAGATAAAAATTTCACTCTCTAGGTACATGTGTACTCAAAACTTATTATTTCAGGGTGTCCAGTAGTTATTGAAAAAAAAAAAAAAAATTCAAAACTTTTCATAATCCAAAATAATTTTTTTCAATATCCACTTTCGTTGAAGAAATTATGAAAATATTTTTTATTTACAATAAAATAAGCTTTGTTTCTTTGTTTATCTCAATAAATATTTAAGATGAATAAATAGATATAAAAGTAAAAACAATTTTATTTTATTTTAAAATTAAAAAAAAATTAGAATAAATATTTTTAAAAAATGTTTTAAAAAACGAAAATTTAAGAAAATATAAAGTCGAAAAAATTGAAAAAAAACAGAAATGTAAAACATTTAAGGGTTCTAAAAAAATTAGAATTAATGGTAAATTTTTTATGATAAATCTATATTAAGAATCCGATTGTAAGTATGTAACACATTCTTTTTTTAGTAAATTTCACATTTGTAATTTACAGGACATTATTTTAATTAAATTTAATTAGTTAATAAGTATTTTACTTTAAATAATTAATGTTATTAGATATTAAATCCATTTTATTAATTTCTTAATAAGAATAATTCTATAACTAGAAATTTAAAAAAAAAAAAATTCTCACAACAATTCAATTTTAGAGTTTTTATTTGGAACTTCTTTAAATAATTGAATTTTTAAAGAAATATTAATATTATTAAAAAATAATTGAACTTTGGAAGAGTTATATAGTTGAAATTTGTAGAAAAATAACTAAATTTCAAATGATTTTGTGAAATTTCGGACAATAATTTAATTTTACACTAATTGAAAATACTTTAATTTCAGATAACATTTTTTAAAAGTAATTGAATTTCCAAAAAAAATTTACAATTTAAATTTTTGAAATTACAAAATTCAACTTCAAGAGATTTTTAATTGCAATTTTTGTTGATGAAGAATTTATAAGAAATTACAAACAAAAATTGAATTTCAAAAGTTGTAATTGAAAAATGCTTTTAAATAATTGAATTTTTGAAGAATATTATAAAAATCATTTAAAATCATTAAATTTTGGAAGATTTAAAGTTGATATTTTTTGAAAATAATTGAATTCAAGTGATTTTGAATTGAAAGTTTTTGGTGATTTCTGTTGCTGAAAAATTTATTAAAAATTGAAAAAAAAAATTGAATTTAAAATCTTTTAATTGAAAAATTCTTTCAGATAATTGAATTTTCAAATAATATTATAAAAATCGATGAAAAAATAATTGAATTTCGTAAGAGTTAGAATTACAATTAATAAATTTCAAAAAGTTTTAGATGGAAAATTTTAAAAATAATTAAATTTGAAAAGGTTTTAAATTGAAATTTTTGGTAATTGAGGGTCCCGATCAAAGAACTGATTATAACTTTTTCAAACTTAAAATCGTTGGCCCCTGAACCAAAAAAAAAAAAAAAAACTTTTGAATTTCAGTTTTCTGCAAGTATTTATTTTTATAAAGAATATATGAAAATACCTGACAGAAAAATGAGTTTCTAGTATTTACTATATTGAATTTACAGGCCAGTGATTTTTAGTCTAAAAAATTTTGTAAAAAAAAAAAAATGTCAAAAATAGTGGAAAAAAGTCATATTATCGAAAAAAAATCGTATAATCCGTGGCCTAAATTCTTAAACAAATTTTTTTTTTGTCATTATTTTAATAATAAATTTTGAGTTTTTAAAAAGGACAGCAGTGCTGTTGAAACGTTAAGAATAGTAGTATTTATTTTTTGACTTGAATTGATTGATAAATTTTTACCTCTTTTTTTTTATTGTGCCAAGCGACAAATTAATAATTGATTAATTATTTCAAAAAACAATTAATTTTCAAAAAATTTTTTTTCATATAATATTAATTTGATATTGTTATACAATACTCACAATAAGTTTTGCCATCTGTAGAAGGAACTCTTCCAGATGTTGAACTACTACTAGAGGCAGCGGCGGTTGACGATCTACTCTTCATCTCATCGGAATCGCCCAATTTTCTCGATGCTTGAAGCTGTTGAATTGCCGATTGTGCAACAGCCGCCGCAGCATTAACACGATCAGTTTGACTCATTGAAGGTAATGTAATCGCACTGCCCTGTGTTATTTGATTTTGATAATATTGCGTGTAATATTGAAGAAAATGTGCCTTTTGCGCTGGTGTTTTTGCATATAAATTTGCACTATACTCAGCAAGTTTAGCCACATCGTCCAATGTATAACTCTGATTTTGTGTATCACTTGGTTTCCAAAGACTCGCACTATTCACCTGATGAAGTTTACAATAAGTAATTTCAACATTCCTTCCGTCGACGACCAATCCCTGTTTTGTTAGTGCCGTATGAAGATACATTGCATCCACAACATTCGCCATTTCCAAATAACAAACACCTCGCGATGTATTTGTGAGTGTATCTCTTCCAATACGAATACTACGTATTGGCATTGATGAAAGATTTGTCATTGCTTGAAGAACTGAATCTTCGGTCGTCAGGACGTCTAGACCACGAAGGAGAACAGTATTTGTTGGATGAGAACTTATTTCATCGCTTCCTTCGCCGCCTTCTTCACTTTCGGCTCGCGATGCCGAACACTTGAAGCATGTCTCTCGACGTTTAAAATTGTGAGCTCCACACTGTAAATTAATATTAATATTAATCATTTTTTCCAAAAAGTGAAATCTTCTAAAATTATTTGAAATAAATTTTTATTAAATTTTTGTTTGCGTTAAATCCCATTATCAGTTAAAATTTCTAATTTCCTAATTTCTTTCTACTCTTTTTGATGGACTAAATTTTCAAATATTCACCTTTATGTTCAAAAAAAAAAAACAACAATATTTCCCTCTAATTATTGTTAGAAATAAAAAAAATTACTTTATTCAAAATTTTTATATGTACTTTCTGATTTTTTATTTATTTATTTTAATAAACGGGCAAGAAAAGAAAGAAAAACCGAATTAACGCACAAAAAAAAACTAATTTAGTTAAATTAAATTTTTGATAAATAGAAATTTGAAATTTAAATCGATTAATTCGGATGATTTGAAAAATTGAAACAAATTATTTAAAATTTGAACAAATTGTAATTCGAATATTTTGAAAATTAAATCAAATAAAATTTGAATAAATTAAAATTCATATAGTTTAAAACTGAAATTAATTAAAAATTTGACGTCAGTGAAGTTTACAACGTGTATGATTAACGATTTAGAAGAGAAAATATTTTTCTATGCAAATTATAATAATTTTTTGTCTAAACAAATTTTTATAACATTTCTCGATCAACAATTTTTAAATGAAATAAATTTGAAGGCAAAAAAATTTATTATTTTCCGGATGAAATATATATATATATTTTTTTTTTCAATCGTTGTTCATAAACATTGTGAACTTCACCGAGGTAAAACTTGGATAAATTGAAATTTCGTTAATTATTTTAAGTTTCGATCGATTAAATTTGCATTTGATTAAAATTAAAAAATTTGTTTTGACCAATAGAAATTAAAATTTATTGAAAATTGAAGCAATTTTAATTAATAAATACTTTAACTAATTTAAATTTTGATTTATTGAAATTTGTACTAAATAATTTTTAAATCGAAATTTTTTTTTTTTTTTTTGATAAATCCAAGGTTGAATCATTGAATTATTTAAAGAAAAGATAATTTGTAATTTTGTATTTTGTAAAATAATATAAGTTCAGGAATGTTAATTTTTTTTCTTTAAATATAAAATAAATTATTTTTCAACATTCCTGAGCTTAAAATAATGTTTTTACATTGTAAATTTAATTATTTTTCAAATATTATATCAAAAATTTCCATAACATTTCCCTATGAAATGTTAAATGTTTCCCTAAAATTTTATTTTAATATTTTCCAACTGAAACTTACTTTAACGCAATGCCAATCTTGCGTATTCTTCGTAGGTGGCTTATCCACATGACCGTCTTTTGGTATACTGTACTGCATGAGTGCACGATATTGATCTTGAAGCATCAGCACTCCCTGAAACAGATGATTTCAGTGTTATCCTGTCCAGTGTCATTCTTAATTTCTAATTTTTTTCCCATACTCTTGCATCTCGATGAGGAATTTATAGTTTTTTTTTTTTCTACTTCATTAGCTTTCTGCTCAAAACGAACAGTAAAGCAAATGTAAATGAAAAACCACAACCCCATAGAAATTTCAATAAATTATGAATGTAAACAAATTTATGAATTCTTTTTCTATTTTTATTTAAATGTTTTTTTTTTTTTTATATCAAAATTTCATATGCAAACTCAAGAAAAAGAAAAATTCAATCCCCGCAAAGTTTTATTATTTTTTACTATTACAAACTAAATACGATATAAATTTGATGACAAAAGTTGTAGAGCAATTTTTTTTTTAAAGCGTATAATGAAAAATGCATGACAATAGGATGGTTCAATATTTTTCTAATAATTATTCAATAATTTTTACAATCTTTTTTTTTCTTGAAAAATATATAACAAATCGAACGAGTGGAATATTTTTGACAAATAAATAGATTTATTTATTCAATTGTTAAAATCATGTTATGTTTTTATAACATTTTTCAGGGTGGCCGTTGAATTTCATTTTCAAAATTCCCCGACTTTTTCATGACTAACAAATTTTTTAATTTTTTTCATTTATTTTTGTTTTCTTTCAATAAAAATTCCCTGATTTTTAAAGATTTTTTTATAAAATTCAAAGCGCGCATGATTATTTCATAAAAATAATAATTAGTGAAAATGTTGAATTTAAAGAAATTTTATTACATATAATTATTTTTTAGACGAATTTTCATGATTCGAATTGGCCTTTAACATAAGTAATTTTTCTTTTAAATGAATTTTTACTTAACAAAATTTTTAGATACCAAACTTTTATTTGGCAGAATTTTTATTTTACTGAATTTCTTTTTATCCAAATTTTTATTTTAAAAAATTCTAATTTAATCGAATTTTAATTTAGCATAATTCTCATTCAACAGAATTTAAAATGATACGAATTTTTAAGTGTCAAAATTTCTAATTCACTGAATTTTCATTTGCACGAATTCTTATTTGATATAATTTTTAAAACGACCAAACTTCATTGAAAATATATATTCATACAAAAAACATAACCTAAAAAAAAGATTTTGGCGCAATTTTAAAAATTGTCCAATCAAAAATTATCTAGAAAATTGTAATTGGTCAATTATTAATTTCGTGTTTAAATATTTTTCTAGGTTATACTTTTGTTCGGACATTTTTAATTTCGGTCAAATGAAAATTCAGCATTTTTATAAATTCTATCAAATAACAATTATAAATAATTACATGAAATAGAATTCTTTAAATGTGATAATGCAATCCTAAAATTTTCTCTAGCGGCCATCCTCAAATTTTTATAGTAAAATAAAATATAATTCACTCTTTCGTTTTTCAATTAGGAAAATTAAATTTAATGAATTTTGTACAATTGAACCAGCCTATCAGGGTAATTTGACTTTTTTTTCAAAAAAAAAAAAAAAAAAAAAATGTATGTTTGCAATAAAAATAGCAAAAAAAAAAAAAAATTTTCTAATTAAATAGGAGATTTAAGGGGTCTACCCACTTTAGACGCACTAAAATGAAGTCTGTTTTCAAGAATTTTTCTGATTGGTTTATATTATACATATAAGTTGTTAGACTAAAGAAATACACTCCCGAAATACATGAAAAAATGTTTGTTATTTGTTTTTGTAAATTTTATATGCATAAAAATGGTAGTTGAAAAAAAAATCCCTCCAAAAAGATGGTTCCACGCTCTTCATGAAATCTCTGACATGGATTGTCCGAAACCAAAAAATCAAAATGTTTTAGATTCAATGTGGTAATAGCTATTGCGCATATTAAGGGATTTTGTATTTTTGCAAAATTGACAAAATGGCGGACATTTTACGAAAAATTAAAGAAAACCGTGTGTTAGTTTTTTTCCAAAAATGTCCGCCATTTTGTCAATTTTGCAAAAATAAAAAATCCCTTAATATGCGCAATAGCTATTACCACACTGAATCTAAAACATTTTGATTTTTTGGTTTCGGACAATCCATGTCAGAGATTTCATGAAGAGCGTGGAACCATGTTTTTTGGAAGGTTTTTTTTTTAACTACCATTTTCATGCATATAAAATTTACAAAAACAAATAACAAATATTTTTTCATGTATTTCGAGAGTGTATTTCTTTAGTCTAACAACTTATACACAGTTTTCTTGTGTGTATCAAATTGATACAAGAATTAAGATCAACTCATGTAACGTTTTGAATCGATATAAGGTATCAAATTCATCAATCATTTTCAAGAAATGATCCAGAATATGAGATCATTTTTTGATACCTGAATTGGTATCAAAGTATAACTGTCATGGCTGGCATGCTCTTATTGACAAGTTTATTAATTAATTTATTAACTGCACTGAATATTAAGGTATTAAAAAAACTTTTATTATGAATTTTAAGAAAGAGAGAAGCGAAAACTTAGAAATTGCGAGCAGTTAAATAAGAAAAAATTTATTTCGAAATAAAACGAAATAAACTAACCTTTATTTATATTTATCACATAAGATTTAAGTTAAGTTCACAATCACAACACTTGAAAATTTTTAATTATTTTTATGGTTCAAATAATTATCAATAATTTATTTATTATAAATGAACAAAATTTAAGAAATGCACGCTTGATAAATATTTCTAATGCGTTGTCAATTATTGCAATTAATAATTTCCTATTACACAATATCATAATCGACATATATAACATTTGTAAACAAACAGGGTTGGGAAACAAATGCCCAAAATATTTTTGTCCAAAGCAGAGTTGGGTAGGATTGAAATTATGTCCAACAATAATTTTCAGAAAGTGTATGCGTTTTCCAAATTCTCGATATGAGTGCTCAGTTATCACAAAAAGGTTCTCAACCTGTTTATAAAAGTATAGTTTAGTTGCATTGATTGAAACTCATATCGAGAATTTGGAAAACGCATACTTCAAAACGTTGCATTCCAAAATGATACCATCAAGTTTACAGATATGTCAATATTTATAACATAAACCAATCAGAAAAATTCTTGAAAACAGCCTTCATTTTAGCGCGTCTAAAGTGGGTAGACCCCTTAAAAATAAAGAAATTGAGTTAAAAAATTAAAAAAAATATATTGAAAAATGTGTGCGGGGATTTGAATATATATATATATATATTAATGAATAATTATAGGAATGATATATATTGAAGTAGCCTTTTAATTAGGTGAACAGCCATGGCCATTGTGAAGGGCCAGTGGGCTGCGTTACCGTGCCCATGCCGCCACGGGGCGTTGTTGGCACGCGTGCAACGCATCGGTTGGGTATCTGGATTGAACTTCTTTCTACCTGTTTCATCTCCATCCAACGTGCGGCCTCCTGAGTCGCGTTAAACTCGACGAAAGCGAAACCTCGCGAAGCACCTATACAGAGCAAATACACACATATCCAAAGTTAATCCACGTTTTTTGCCTGGGTAGACTCTTAGAGGGCAGGCAATCACAGCACCAACCATTGACAGATTCAGTTTCGAACGAAGCGTTCCTTCTTTTCGGCACTTGTTTTTTCTTTCCCGTTAATCCTATTTGCTTTGCAGTAACTAAACTACTATCCACGTTTTAGAAAAAACTTTTCGATTGTACTTTTTCATTTTAATTCACATTCGTTTCAAAAACTAACTTTTATTTATTATTTTATCCATTGGCAACTCTATTCCCGAATTGAAATTTAAAAACAATTTGTATTCCCTTAATGTTCTTTTTGACTTTAATCTCTTAATAGTTACAATATATACTAACAAAATACTAATAAAAAATTCTCATGGAATACAAATTGATAAACTTACCCTGTACTGTAAAACTTACCTGAAAAACAACGTATGTTTTACGATACGTATGTTTATAAAAGTACAGGATCAGTTATTATTTTTCTTTTTCAAATTTATCTCGAGCAAAATGAAAATACTTAAAAGAGAAATAATAAACGGTAAAAATGATGCCGATGAAAAAAAGAACAATTTTTCTATTGGAGAGATATTGATAATTTTATAAATTGGAGATAATTACCTGTGTCCTTTTTCCTGATTAGCCTGATGTCCTTGGGCATGAGACCACAATTGAGGATGTCTTGCCGCACCTGTGATACACACATTCAAGTATAATAATAATACAAAGACTTTCCATAAAGCAAACTCACGCCTGGCCTCAAATAAACAATTATTGGGGCCATTATGCTGAACAACCTACGTCATTTTCAGTAATATGTTGAGCGAGACCACGAATCATAATGGTGTTATTAGGCGATTGTGATTTGTAGTGAACACCCTCCAATGATGATCCATAGGCACGATGATCATGCTCATAGTCAGTATTATTTTCACGACCATGCTCATCATCACCACCGCCTCGATCACGATCTCGATCATCTCTTTTACCCCTTCGATCTCTTTCTCTATCGCGTTCTCTGTCTCTACGTGAACGTTCACGATCACGATCCCTGTCACGATCGCGATCACGTTCCCTTTCAATTGAATCGCGTTCCCTTTGCCGTGTATATCTATCATCTCTGTCTCTATAGCTACGATCACGATCCTCTCGACTTCTGTCGCGTCGATCACGTGAACGTTCACGTTCACGGTCTCTATCGCGACTACGATGACTCCTATAATCTGGACTATTATTACGATGATCGCGATCTCTGTGATCAATGTCACGATGCTCTATATAATCGGGCGAACGATTATTTCCATAATCATTATTGCGATAATCATTATAATCTGATGAATTATGAGTTCTTCTCTCTGGACCGTAACCTGGTTCCCAGGGATCAATATTGTTCCCGTACATGTTGCTTTATAATCATATGTCACGAAACCTGTCAAAAAAAAAAAAAGAAATACAAATTAATAATTTGTATCATTTTTAATCTTTTTTTACAATAGGGTTAATGTATCAATTACTGCTGATGCCTCAATTACTGCGATTTCTAAAAAAATTAGTAAAATTTACTAATTGAGAACATAAAACTATTTCAAAATGACTTTAAAAATTATTCCAAATATAATATTTCATATTATATCCACTAAAGATGCATATTTCGACTATTGTCAAATTAGTTATTCAAGTGTCAATTGAATCTATCACAGTAAATAGAGCTTGCGTATATTCTTCTCATGCCGCTAATACTGTGGTTTATCCAGTCAACCTAACCTCTAAATCAACGATTTTAGCGCTGCAGTAATTGGTGCACACAATGTGCAGTAATTCATGCAAACCTGCAGTAATACTAGCATATGCCATTTTTAAAAAAGGTAATATTTTTAATAACAGTACAAAAATAATATGACTTCAAAAACTTCTTATCGGACATAGTAAAAGTAGTAAAAAAAACTGAAAAGAATGGTGTATATTTAAGGGTATGTGGGCAAAGGACGTTTTTTTGTTGTTTGAAACTTACTCTGAAATAAAAAATGATTTTAGGTTAAAATTTTGGAGAAATGATTTTCTTTGGTACAAGTAATCTCGCTGTTCTACTCATTTACCATAAGTGCGATTCCAGTTGAGATTTTGACTTTTTCGGAGTAGGTTAACCGATTGCAATGAAACTTTGGAATTTTGTTATATATAGTAAGACTAATCTTTAACGTAATTTGCAGCTTAAAATATTTGTTAGTTTACGAGATTTGCAATAATAACAAATAATTTTAAACTGCTATATCTTCCGTTCTAATAATCGGATTGAGGTCTACTTTTTTTTAAAATGTCAAGGAAAATGAGAGGAATCTCTTTTAGAACAATTTTTTATAATTTTACAACTAAAAAAATTATTAAATAATAATTGAATAAATTTCAAGTGACGAGGCGCATGATTTTTTCCAAAAATTAAAAAGTTCTAAATTTTAATTGATCGAATTACTTAAAGTCGATATTTTATTTGGTCGAAATTCTAAAAGAACGACAGTTATGAAAGTCGACATTTTATTTAGACGATATTTCATTTGACCAAAATTCTAAATGATCGATATTTAAAGTGGTCGACATTTTATTTGGTAGATATTTTGTTTATTCGAAATTCTAAATGATCAATATATAAAGTGGTCAACAATTTATTTAGTCGATATTTTATTTGGTCGAAATTTTAAATGGTCGATAGTTAATATAGTCGATATTTTATTTGATTGAAAATCTAAATGCTCGATATTTAAAGTGGTCGACATTTTATTTAGACGATATTTTATTTGGTCGAAATTCTAAATGATCGACATTTAAAGTGGTCGAAATTTTATTAGTTCGATATTTTGTTTGGTCGATATTCTAAATGATCCACATTTAAAGTGGTCGATATTTTATTTGTTCGATATTCTAAATAATAGAAATTTAGAAGCATCGAATTTTATATCCATCGAAATTTAATTTGGTCGATATTTTAAAAGCTCGACATTTTTTTTAGCTATACGAGTTTCTTCTCTATGTTGTTATTATTATTATTTACATCAATAATTTCAAATTTCCCGCGAAATTTTTAATGTACTTTACCGACAAACTACATAGAAAGGAAACTCGTATAGCTAAAAAAGTGTCGAGCTTTTAAAATATCGACCAAATTAAATTTCGATGGATTTAAAATTCGATGCTTCTAAATTTCTATCATTTAGAATATCGAACAAATAAAATATCGACCACTTTAAATGTCGTTCATTTAAAATATCGACCAAACAAAATATCGAACTAATAAAATTTCGTCCACTTTAAATGTCGATCATTTAGAATTTCGACAAAATAAAATATCCTCTAAATAAAATGTCGACCACTTTAAATATCGACCATTTAGATTTTCGATCAAATAAAATATCGACCTTCATAAATGTCGGTTATTTAGAATTTCGATCGAATAAAAAATCGACTGAATAAAATGTCGACCTTCATAAATGTCTATCATTTTCAATTTCGATAAAATAAAATATTGACTTAATAAAATATCGGCCACTTTAAATATCGATCATTTAGAATTTAGAATAAATAAAATATCGACCAAATAAAATGTTGACCATTTTAAATATCGATCATTTAGAATTTCGTTCAAATAAAATATCGACTTAATGTAATTCGATCAATTAAATTTTCGACCTTTTTAATTTTTGGGAAAAATCATGCGCCTCCAAGCGACAATCTAAAATTCAATCACTTAAACGCTAAAATGATCTTACCAGTGTTTTCTTAAATGTTCCAAAGGAATCCAATTGTAAATGCAAGTTTAACTTATTTAATTTTAATAATTTACGAGTATAAACAATTGCGATTTATGCTATAGTTGACGTGCAGACGACATTGCGCACGCAGCATTTTCCTGTACCCAGCTGACCTGATTCGTGGACTAAATTGGCTACGTGAGAATGCTGCCTGCGCAATGTCGTCTGCACGTCAACTAGCAGAAATCGCAATTGTTTATACTCGTAAATTATTAAAATTAAATAAGTTAAACTTGTATTTACAATTGGATTCCTTTGGAACATTTAAGAAAACACTAGTAAGATCATTTTAGCGTTTAAGTGATTGAATTTTAGATTGTCGCTTAAAATTTATTCAATTATTATTTAATAATTTTTTTAGTTGTAAAATTATAAAAAATTGTTCTGAAAGAGATTTATTCCTCTCATTTTCCTTGATATTTAAAAAAAAAATAGACCTCAATCCGATTATTAGAACGGAAGATATAGCAGTTTAAAATTTTTTGTTATTATTGCAAATCTCGTAAACTAACAAATATTTTAAGCTGAAATTTACGTTAAAGATTAGTCTTACTATATATAACAAAATTCCAAAGTTTCATTACAATCGGTTAACCTACTCATAGTTCATTTCATAATTTTTAATTCGACACCACAAAAATTCCGGCAAGTCTAATTTTGGGGAATATTCATGCGTTCCAACAAATTTCTAAAAAAAAAAAAATTCTGACAACAATTCAATTTTAGAATTTATATTTGTAACTTTTTGAAATAATTGAATTTTTAAAATATACACATTTAAATATACATATAATATATATACATAATATAAGTGGGTGATTCTCTCAAAAAGAACAAATTATTTGTGCACAATTTTTGGACGAGGTTTTTGTTAAAAAATAATAACATTAATTTCAATTAATAAACATTCTCCTAGCCATACGATAAAATTCAACAAATTTTTATGGGATCACTAAAGAAAATTTCAAAAAAATGGCAAACAACTGAATAATTGAATGAAAACTAGTGTTAAAACTCCATTCCGTAACTCCATTCCGTAATATCAGTTTTTATTCAATATTTCAGTTATTTTACCTTTTTTTTAAATTTTCTTTAGTGGTCCGATTGAAAATTGTTAAATCCTAACGTACGGCTGACAGAATTTTAAATAATTTCAATTAATTTTCATATTTTTTAACAAAATATCTTAAAAGCGTAATTTGTCCTTTTTGAGAGAATCACCCAAATACACATTTTTTAAAATTAATTAAACTTCAAGTGATTTTTAATTTAAATTTTTGGTGATGAAGAATTTATTAGAAATTAGAGATAAATATTCAATTTCAAATGTTTTTAATTGAAAAATGCTTTCCGATAATTGGAGTTTTTGGAATAATATTATAAAAATCATTAAAAATAATTGAATTTTGGAAGAATTATAATTGAAATTATTAAATTTGAGAAAGTTTTAGATGGAAAATGTTAAAAATAATTAAATTTAAAAAGGTTCTAAATTGAATGTTTATTTGTCAAAATTTTTATTTAATCAAATTTTCATTTAATATAGGTAATAGCCATTTTCACGATTTTTTCATCAATTTTGAAAAATCATAATTTTTTAATATTTCTGAGTTAAAAAATCGTTTTTTAGAATTTAAATTTAAATTACTTTGAATAATTTATTATTAAAAATTTTGAAATTTGTAAGAATTTCTTTTTGTTATGGTCTTGCACATATTATTTATTTTTATATAGATGTTTTTTTCAATTATTTTTTTTTAATTTGAGTCCTACTTATTATTTATTTAAACAAATTTTTGCAGCACAAATTGTTACAAAAATTTTTTTTTTTTTTTTAAAAAAATAAATAGTAATAATAATAAACAGTAAATATAAAGAAATAATAATAATAATATAAAAAATAATAAAAATAGTATAATATAAAAAATATCAAAAGTGTCCATTATAACGAGAATAATATTTCTTTAGAGGTTATGTTGCCCATATTTCAAACTTTAATATTTTAATTAATTATAATTTAAATGTTCATCTTCATAGACAATTAAGTAAATTTTAATTTTAAAAAAACAATATTTTTTTTTATTTTCAAGAAAATGTTTTAAATAGTTGGAATTTGCATTAGCTCATTTTTTAATGCAAAATTTAAAATAGAAAAAAAAAGTAACTTGAATTTTATTTTTTTTTTATATATCTTTTTTAGCTCTTTAAAAAAAATTAAATTTAAATAATATTTTGCTTTATTTCAATAAATCTGTTGAGTATAGAAAAAATTTGATGAAATAAACTAAACATTTAATTGAATGGACTAAATGTGTGGTTCATTTAATTAAACATTTGTCTGGATGACAAAAAATTTGTTTTTTGATTAACATTAATTGGAAAAAAGAGAAAAATCAAGATTATAAATATTTTAGATAATATGTTTTTCGAAAAAAAGTCTAAAAGGGGCCAAATTATAATCCTTGTATCTTATCGTTATATTTCAATTTAAATTTTTGTTAAAAAGTAAAAAAAAATAGGAAAATGATAAAAAACAGATAATCACAGAATATAATTATTGTCGTTAAAAAAAATGTCATTCAACCTTGTAATCTGAAACTAGTCAAGTTTTTTTTTCTATCATAAAACGAAATCATAAAAAAACTGATGTCATTTTTAGCTGACTAACAACTAACTTATAATTATTGACTACAACATTTGTATTTATAGTCAAAGTTATAAAAATTAAATGTTACATTGTATTCGTAATACATTGCAAAAAAAAAATACATAAACGTTTGTTTAAATAAAGAAAAAAACATTATAAAAAATTAACATTTTCTAAAACGTCATTTCTTAAGAAAAAAAAAAATTAATAATTTAGCAATTATAAAAAAAAAGCTGACAACGAGAAATTTCTAGCGCGTGTAACCACGAACAATCAGCAAGACCAATTTATTGATCCTATATACGAAGCCACATTTTCGACACACGGATCACATTAGCGAAGCAGTAACGTAAAAAAAAAATGTCGACTTTTCCGAAGCCAATGACATTCACTAGATGAAATGATCACAAATTTAAATTTTCACTACACAATTAAATGCAAATAGTTTTAATCAATGAAATATTATTAAGCATAATAATAGGAAATAATAAAATAATATTTCTTTTTAAAAGAAAATCTGTTACCTCAGGGCACAATGGCACCAGGCGTCTTCTCCGACTATTCACAATTTTTTTTTTTTTTCTTATTCCGACTTTACTACGTTATCACCGCGAATAAAATAAACTTCACCAATGAATAACAATTGATTATTATAACACCATTAATTGATTCACTTTTACATGAAACTGAAAGAAAATTATTGAAATAATCACTGACATAAATTAGGTTTTCCTATACTCCTGTAAAATTACACACTTCTGCAAATGCAAAATGGCGCTTTGACCGCGTTCTGCTTTGGCGTGGCGGGATTTAAGGAGTGGGGAGTAAAACAGTGTTACCAACACTTATTTCTTAAAGGCGGACAATTTAAACATAAAAACGAAAATATTTAATGAAAATATGAAAATATTTTCATAAAATAAAACATTATTTTAGAAAAAATTTTTTTTTAAAGTAATTAATAATTTTTTTATTGTATATTATATGATTAGTGTATTTATATAGTTTTCTTTATTAGTTAAACTACTTGGATTACAAAATGCGCCTGATTGAGGGCAACTGTATATGCACGAAAATACTAAAATTCCATATCACAAGGAAATGTCTATACTGCTTTTCAGTATTATATTTACTTCATTAAATATTATACATATGGCAATAGTTATGATATAATTTTGTCTAACTATTGTTCTTATTAATATTCTATATAATTATTATATTATTTAACAAATATTTTAATAGAATTTTAATTTTATGAAATATTTTATGTGTGGGCGAGTGTGCATGGCGGATTGCCAAACAAATCATAAAAAAAGTGGGGAAAAAAAATCAAACGAGGGAAAAATGACAGGATGAGTTCTATTGGTTTAGACAGATTTCCATCTAATTGGACATAAACAATTTCCTGGGTAAATAGGAAAATTTATCTTTCACAGGATATGATACAATATCTCAGAAATATTCTTAGTAATTCATTAAAAAGAGCCTACTTATTAGACATTTATAATAATGTATAGTTTAAATCTAAAGTGAAATTGGATAATATTAATAAGATTTAAAATAATGATATAATTAATTTCAATTTATAATCATATTCTATACATAATATATAGAAAATTCAAGTTTTCATTGTTAAAATAAAACTGATATTATTCGTGTTTTTATTTTATATAATTATTTCTTTTTATTATTATTTTAATTAAATTATTATTTTTGATGCACTCTGAAAAAAGGGACCTGAAAAGTAAAAAATTATAGGTTATGTTTTGAAATTTAATAATAACTGATTTTGATTTTACATAAATAAAAAAAAAAAACTTTATACTTTTAATCAATGGTAAAACTGTCGTAAACATAAATTAAAATTCGTTTGCTTCTAAGGTACGTGGGGCATTCCACGTGAAATTTTCACTTATAACATTTTTTTTCGAAAAATATATATATGGGTCATTCCACGTGAAATTTTCAATTATAACATTTTTTTTCGAAAAATATATATGGGTCATTCCATGTGAGATTTACACCAAAAATTTTTTTTTCACTAACATTTTTTTTTTCTTTTGAAAAATATATGTGGGGCATTCCGAGTAGAATTTTCACAGAAAATTTTTTTTTGACTAAAATTTTTTTTTTTTTTTGAAAAATAAATTTGGGTCATTTCACATAAAATTTTCACTGAACATTTTTTTCTTTTGACAAATATACAGTTTTTTTGAAAAAATATATATACATTTATATAAATTAGTGGGAAAAATTATTTTTATTTTTAATGTAAAAACACTTTAAAATGACATTCAGTTCCGGATACAGAAATATATATATATTAATGTGATAAATTTGAATTTTTATTTTTATAAAACAAACTTGCAGAATTTACAAATGAAAACGCTTGTTACAATTCATAAACATATTTTGAACAATGTAAACAAAATTTTTCTGCAAACATATATGTAATAAAATAGTTGAATAACAGAGGCATTTTAATAAATAGTGCTGAGTTTAGAAATAGAAAATAAAGCACATACGTATAACTAAAGTGAATATGAAATTGTATAAAATTCTGTTATTTCTAATTCATATATATACCTCAAACGTAATTTTAAAATAAAAATTATAATATTTAAAAATCCAAAGACATTATTATAAATTAATTAATTCACATTTTAGTACTTTTACATTTATTTCAAAATATATATTAATGAAAAATAATTATAAATATATTTCTATTAATTACTTCAGACAATTTACAAACTTTGAATAATTTTTTGAATAATTTTTTTTAGTTTTTTAATAAAACAGATAATATTAAAAATTTATTTATTATTTATAATTCTTTAAATTGATAATAGTTAGCATAGTATTTTAAGATAGACTAAACTTGAAAATTTTCCAAAATATATAGTTTAAAATTTTTTAAGTTATACAAAGAAATATTTTTAAATATTTTAAAAATCTAAATTCATGAAATACTCTCCAAAATTTATTTCTATGTACATTTTTGAATTTATTCATATATATGCAATTAAATCATTTAAGGGGCAAAATTCTTAAAAATATCCGAATTAAAAATTTTAATTTATTGAATTTAATGTCCAAACTTTTCCAAAATTTTGGAAAAATTTTAACTGAATTAGATAAACTTCAAATTTTTGATAATTATTAGTAATTATTATTACAATTATTATTAATTATTATACAATACTCTTACTAACAAAATGGTAATCACAACAAATCGTTTTTCTCAGTAATAATTTATCTCTGATACAGTTATGAGAAATTCTAAAGTATCTTTTTGTTTTATTTCTTGAATAAAATCTTCTATTGGTTTTGAAGGTAACATTTTAATTCCATCATTTATTGTAAAATAATTTTTTTCCCAATTTGGTCCAAAACCTTCTGCACATTCTATAGAAATATTATTAAGCATTTCATTTTCAACCTCATCAATATTTTGAAGAAATACTACTACACAGAAAAAACTTGGACTCATTTTTGTTGCAACTCATTTTCTTTTGGGTATCGAAATGAGTATGGGACAAACTTCATGTTATTCAAAATGATATTGGCTGGAATTTCAGATTTCTAAGTTGGCATCATAAGCAGAGTAATTTTGTATTTCAATTATTGTTTCTAATATTTCAACAACACCAGAAAGATTATTTTGACCAGTACGAATATTTAGAAGTTTTTAAATAAAAATTATTTATTATTATTTACGTAGATAATAATTAATTTCATAAGTTTTTAAATTTACCGCTATTATTTAAGTTGGCAGTACCGTTCCTGTTGTCAAAACACATGTTTTCATTTTTCTAACCTAAAAACATATTTCCTTTATTATTTTATTACGCGATTACAAGCAATTTTTAATCAAATATATTAAGTCTAGCGTGTTATTTACTTCTTTGTAATTATTATATTTCATGTTTTTGTGCAAAATTATTCGTTATTTCACAATATTTTTCCATTTTTCTTTTTCTCAAAATGAAACTTGCCTGTTTCATTTTGATACTTTTACCTTAGAACTCGAAATGAAACAACCAGTTTCATTTTTGTTGCGAATCAAATTGAGTATAGAATCTATACTCAATTTGAATTCAGGTTTTTTCTGTGTACATATCTCTTGCCATCAATATTTTCCATACTTCTCAAATGAATACTTAAAACTCCCAAGTTATCATTTATGGTAAATATATTTGATTTTAGTGAATTTTGAAATAGAAGTTCTTGTAGAGTTGATGCATTTCCTTTGTAGTCTAATTTCCAATTCAAAGACTTTAATTCTTCTTTTTCAATGGTTGATTCCAATTTTAATTGTCCATTAATAAACTGACAGTTGACAATTTGTATGCAAGCTATTAATGTAGCAATGTAATTGATTCCATTCATTTTGTTTGTGCTTTTCTATATATAAAGAAAAAGTAGATAAAATTTTTTTTAAATTAAAATTGTTACTGTGAATAATAATTTATATATATATAGGATAAATTTATCCAAGTAATACACGTAATCTTAATATCGCACAATAATATTACACCCAGAAAAAAGATTTCCTTGATTCAAAGAAATCAATTTCTTTGACAAATTTTTCTTTGATACAAAAAAAATTTATTTATTTCAAACAAATTATCTTTGATTCAAAAAAAATTATCTTCGTTTCATGTTTCTTTGTAAAATTTTTTTGATTTAAGGATATGTGGGCAAAGGACCTTTTTTTGTGGTTTAAACTTACTCTGAAATAAAAAATGATTTTGGGTTAAAATTTTAGAGAAATGATTTTGTTTGGTAGGTACAAGGAATCTCGCTGTTCTACTCATTTACCATACCTTAACGCAAAAATAATTTTAAAAAAGCAATAAATAGTAAAATAATGTGTTTTATCATAGTTCATTCAGCGGCCACTCGCTCGAATTGGCGCTGTTTACTGGAGCACTGACAGACTCATGCAACGTCTGTGTATCCGCCGCCATCTTTGTTTTCATTTTCGTTTAAAAATGCCACTTTTTAAACATCATTTTTTAATAATTTTACTCAAAATTATGTATTTTTCGGAGAACAGCGAGATTCTTTGTACCCTAATGTATCATCCCTCAAAATTTTAGACAAAAATCTTTTCTCATTTTAGAGTGAAATGTATACTACCAAAACACATTTTCCCATACCAGGTCACGTGGGAGGTTCCCACATACCCTTAATGCACAAATTTCTTTCATTCAAAGAAAATTTCTTTCAATCAATAAAGTTTTTTTTGAAACTAAGAAGCTTTTTTTGTTTCAAAAGAAAATTTTATTTTGAATGAAAATCTTTTCTCTGGGTATACATGCGGAAGATTCATATAATATTACACATTTAGAAAAAATAATATGTTTAAACGTGACCTGATGATGATGGCGAACCAAACCACCGAAACGTTGACTAAAATTTTAAAAAAGTGAAAGATTGTTTTTTCTTTTTTAGCTTTACGTTTTCCAAAAAATCGAAAATAGTTATATTTATGATACAAGTGCGTAAAGTGAGTGATTATACGAGTGTCACACGAGTATAATCAGATTTACGCACGTGTATCATACAACATTTTTTGCAACACCCACCTCTAAAGTTAAGTATACCTATTATGAAGAATTCCAACTCTCTATATTAGAATAATTTCGATTGTATAGAATTAAATAAATCAATCGAAGATCAGGAAAAATATCATTATGCAGGATATGTATAAATTTAAAAGTAACGTTCGTTTTTTAATTTTGTGGTTTTGTATGGTCTAAAACAATCCTTATATTATGTGAGAAAAATTTC